CTGCTCTTCACAGCAGGTGGTTAACACTTCATATTTGTCTGTCTGTCCTGTGGAAGTAAGTCTGCTCACCTCGATGGTTGAGAAATATTTAGCAGCCCTTTTTGCTGTTCACATTCCAGGAGCAAACAATTGAAAGGTGGATTAACTCAGCAGCTATCACCACCTGGACCAAGGAGAATGGGCCTTTAATTGTGACATATTCAGTCTCTTATGTCAAAAATAAGAAACTCCAAATGTCATTTTGGTCATCAGGTACAACAAGGTAAACCCGTCTGTAAACAAAACCAAGGATCCTCCAGCATTGGCTTCTGATGCTCTGATAATTCTGTAGACCCCATTCCAGTTCATATATATGCCTTCCCTCCAGTGCAGATTCTGTCATGACTGCTTTGCAAAATAAAGCAAGCCAGTGATTTTCATTGTATTAGATTGCCCAGGAGAACCTGGTACACAGACATACTCAAACCTATGAAAGACAATTCCTGGCCTCTTCCACACAGGCCAAACCTTCTATCTTAGAGCCCCCTATTCCATCTTGCTTCTCATTCTATGGCTTTAATGGCATAGCTGTTGAAATCTAGATCTTGAGGGGACATTCTGATTCTGTTAGTAATACCTCATCTGGAATATGCAGTTTAATTTTGGGCACCAATTCACAAAAAGAACATTGAGGAACTGGAGAAAGTACAGAGAAGGGCAACCAAGCTGATATGGAGGAGCTCAGCTATGAGGAAGAATTAGAGGAACTTAATTTATTCTGTCTTGAGAAGAGGAGATTAAGGGGAGATATGATCAAACATGTAAAAATACATCAGTGGTTCATATAGTGAACTCAGTGTAGAGTTATACATCTTGAGGTCATCACAGAGGACAAGGGGGCACTCTTTATGTCTGGAGGAAAAGAAATTTAATCTCCAAATACGGAAAGGTTTCTTCACAGTAAGAGCTGTAAAAATGTGGAATAGGCTCCCTCAAGAGTTGGTTCTGGCCAGCTCAGTGGATTTGTTTTAAAAAAAGACCTGGATTCTTTCTTGGATACACAGAATATAACTAGCTACTACATAACATTTATAGGTAAAGTTGATCCAGGGAATATCTGATTGCCTCTCAGGGGATCAGGAAGAAATTTTTTTTTCCCCTGCAGGAGCAAATTTCTCTGTACCGTGGATCCTGGACATTCGACAATTGGGGCTTCATGAGAATTTAGCTTTAACCACTCTTAAGGGACAGGTTTCAGTCTTTTTCAATTTTGTTTCAAATACCTCTGGCTTCATTCATTCTTGTAAAGAATGATAAAAAAAAAAATTCAAAATGTTTATTGGATACAGCTGCCTGATCTTCCTTGAGATCTTCATTTTGTTCTCTGCCCTGCCGAAACCATGCTTTCAACCCATCAGGGTACTTTTTGGATAATATGTCCTGCAAGGTGGCCTCTTAGCATCTATTGCATTTGTCAGACATGTCTCTGAACTAGCTGCTCTCTTGTAAGGAACCATGCCCTGCTCCTAAGGCCCCTAAAGGGATTGCTGTCCGTTGTCAGAGCTATCACAGTTTATCTAAAAGCCACAGCTTCCATAAGAAAGATGAACTCTTTCCTTGTCTTGTTGTCTAGGCCTTGCAGTTGACATCCTGCTTCAAAATCCAGTATTGCCCCCTGGATAAGAAAACTCCTTTCAAGAGCTTACACTTTAAAGGATGAGATACATTTAGCACTCTTACATGCTCGCTCTACCAGATCTGTGGCTGTTTCCTTGCGTTTCCGACACCAGGCCCCTCTTCTCCCAGAGTGTTCACAAAGTTCTTAGTACCTTTCTTCCCCCTTCTCAGAATGCTAAGCAACCTCTTTCTAAAGGACGACTGGAGTATGTAAACCCAACATTTCTTATTCCTTGTATGAAAAAGTATCCTGTTCCTTGTATTGCTTGCTTTGTGTGAAATACTTGGTGTTCCTGCCAGTTCCCCTGCCCTTTCTGCTGACACACGCCACCTGCACAGCCTTTCACTGGAAAGGTCAGTGTGTGGCTGTTTTTCATCCCCCACCTCTCTATTCTCAGCTTACAGGGTATATGATCACCTATAAAACAGGGGGCCTGCCCCACCTGTAAAAGTGATCCAGCAGCTAATTAGCTGCTAGATTTGCTTTTACATTAAAGTCAATCGCCAGCTAAAGAAGAAGAAAAAAAAACATACTGGGATGATGCCTGTAGCGGCAGGCATCATTCCGGTATAACACCTTCAACATGGCTGCGTACAGGTATGTCACGGAGGCTGAGGTGGCTAACTTGGCTATTGAAATCCAAGTCCTGAGAGATCAGTTCACTCTGATTCCATTATTCCAATGCTTAAAGCTAGGAAGTTTAATAGAATCCCTGCACTCAGATAAGACGTCTGTGAGCTGCCAGTACTAAAATTTGTGATGCCAAATTTAAATGGGTTATAAAAAAAAAAAAAAAAAAAGTGTTACATTAAACATACAGTATAAACATAAATCCATAAAGTTCATCACCTTAAGTCTTTATAAACACATGCATTCCTCAGTATGTGCAAAAATCATCACAAATATTTGACCAAATAAAATATCTAAAAAGTAACAAGAATCCAACAAAAACATGTTACCAGCTTATTGAAGTTGGTTTACTAAAACTGGAGAGTGCAAAATCTTGTGCAGTTCTGCATAGAAACCAAGCCTAATTAATCAAGCTGAAGTTAGAAGCTGATTGGCTACCATGCACTGCTGCGCCAAACGTGTACAATTTTAGTAAATCAAGCCCATTGACACAATGACTTAATGTCCAAAAAAGGTGCCAAAATATTCCACTTCTTTGAAATAGTTCAAACTAGAAAAATCACCCAGCAATCCCTCTCCTTTGGTGACTCTACATTAGAAAGACCCTCTGCAGGCAGTGTTCCCCTCCGTGCATGCATATAGGACTCTTTCATATGTCCATTGTATGATAATGGTCAAACAGTACTGAGGAGTTGCAGCATCCAGGTCTCAGTTAATTCAGCGCATACATCCTGGGAAGTGTCCATGAGTATACCCGCAATAATGGCATAAAAAAGGAGCAGCAGCTCTCGTAGCGCAATAAAGCTAAAAGCTCCAATTTGTTTAAAAATAATTTCACTAAGATAAGGCAGTACCACAATACATGCATCCTTTCAGCAGTATATTTTGTCCCATCTGGTTTTCAGTGAAGAATGCATGATGATATCATGTCCATTAGCCCTGCCCAACGTGTTTCATCATAGTAGACATCAGGGTTAGCGCAACCCAGAAAGGTCAAGTCTCTGCGTTGTTCATTCTTTCAGAGATCCTTGACTATTCCATAGGTGGCTGACTTTACTTGTACGGTAGGTTTTTGTTGTTTTTTGGAGGGTTTTTTGTGGTTATTACATCAGGGAGAGGTCTCAGAACTCGCAGCCTTATCCTGTAAAGAACAATTCCTTTTCTACATAAAGACAAGGGCTTCCTTTCCCCCTAAAGTGGTTTCCTCCTTCCACCTTTAATTGAGTTATCTACCTTCTTTGTGACCTGCTCATAGGTACATTGTTTACTGTGAGTTTACCTTTTATGGCACTGTACCAATTCAAACTTTAGATTCTCCGTTTGTCCTGCCTGCAGATGCTTGCAAAGGCTGTTCTGCATCACGTTCCACCATGGTTAAGATAAAAGCAGGTTATTAAGAGGAATCCTCCTATGCTGTTAAGGTTTATGCTACCTGTTCAGTCTATGCCTTTTGGGCTTTTCAGTGCCAAGCCTCTTTGTCATATCTGCAAGGCCACCACCTGGTCTTCTGTTCACGGGTTGTTAGTTTTAACAGCTAGACTTAGAGGCCTCTGCTGAAGCCAGCTTCAGCCGTAAGGTGTTAAATGCCACTCTTTGTTGGGGAAACTGGTTCCCTTGTTTTGGGCCTGTTACCTTTGTTGTGTTGCCTACTCCTTACATGTACTGCTTGGGGGGCATCCTATAGTCAAAATTGAAAAGAGCCTGTGTCCTGTATTGTGTGATTTAAGAAATAAGGATTTTATACTTACCAGTGAAGGTTTTTTTTCTTGGAGTACAGTACATTACCCAGGCCATCCTCCCCTTTGTTCTGGTGTTTTTCCTCTGATTGCTTGCTTTAAAAAGAAGATTGCTGGTAGCTGAAGGAGTTGTATGGAATGACCTAACAACTTTGTTTGCCAGTGTCCTCACCTGAAGGTGGCAGCATTTAATCCATTGTCAAGATTTAAAGGAGCCTGTGTTCTGTGCTGTACTCTAAGAAAGGTACTTTACAGGCAAGTAAGAAACAAAATATATATATACTTTTTTATGCATGTATACAAAAGGTAAAAATAAAAGTGGCCCAAAACCACTATAATTTCTATTTAAAGCAAAATTACACTTGTTGGACCTGTAGAATATAGTCTGTTGGCTTGTGGTGGTGTTTTTTATTACTACAGCTTCTAAAATGCTTCAAGCATAGTGCATATAGGGCCTACTTTAGCTTTGGTTGTTTTTGCATGAAATGCTATTTTAGCAAATATGGGTGAGCTCTGCGGTTATTTTGAGCTAAAAGCTGCATAATGTGTCCTATAGTACCTTCACACCATACAGTCACTTTGTTTTACTTAAAGGATCAGTTCACCAAAGACTTGAGTTGAATCATTCCCTGCCTTTATGCACATCTTGTCAATTTCAGTAGTACAATCTACCGTCCTGCATTTCACTCCACATTGTAAAATGAGTTGACCATCAAGTAGTATAACTGAGGCTTCCATTGTGATGGTATCATCCAATTAGGTAGATTGAAAAGTTGTGTGCAGTTATCTTGCTGCTGCAGTTTACAAAAGTTTTCAATCCACCCAAAACAGAATTGTTAGTTTTTGGTATACTCTTCCTTTAATGATACACCAGACAAAGATGCACTTTTCAGATCTACTCAAGTACGTAAGTTTTGTAAGCTTAAAATTCTCTGTATATGTTACTATACCAATGATTGTTATCTATCACTCAACAGGTCCTCCTAGCTATGTTCCTGCCACAGCTTTTCTACAAAATGCAGGCCAGGCGCATCTCATCACACAATGTGAGCAATACGAAGCAGAGATGGGAACCTTGCTACAACAGAGACGCTCTGTGCTTCGTGGCTGCTTGGAGAATCTTCACAACTATGCTACTGTAGCACTTTTGTACCCCAAATCAGTATTCCAAAAACACAGAATGGAGCAATGGAAGACGTGGATGGAAGAGCTTATATGCAGCATGACCATGGAGCACTGTCAGGAAATATATACAAAGTAAGTTGAGGTTTGAAAAATTCACTTCTTATAGATCATTGTTTTACAATGTCTGAGTGACTTCATCCCATATCAACTTGCACAGTGTCAAACATATATCATTGACCCAGACAAGGGGTGTTCAACCTTAGACCCATAGGCCACATGTGGCCCTCAACCTTACACCAGGGAAGAGCATGCCCAGGGTCGTCAACCCATTGATCGCGATCTGGGCTTGCTGACCCCCAATCCTAGAGCATAATTGCATTGAGCCGACAGCAGAAGAAGTAGGCGGCCACGGAGAGAGCAGGAGCCTCATAAGCTGATGCTTCTGCTGTAGATCCGGCTCCTGTCCAAGGTGGAGTGATACAAAGTGCACTTTGCCTGGGACCTTTTTAGCAGCCTGGAGTTTATTGCCAGCAGGAGCTGGAAGAGGAAAATAAGGGCAATGTATGAAACAACACATACACTGTGCTTTTGCATTGGGCATATTAGCACTTCTAAAATAAGGGGTTAGCATCTATAAGGCTGCTTTCACACTGACCTTCAGTGGACACGTGGGTTAGCTGCACTGAGACAGACTTCTGTTATATCCTGCGGGTTTGGTGAATGCAGGAGTTTTAGTGCACTTCCAGAAAGTGCAGCACACCCTCAATATATAATAGAAGTCTATGACAAAGTGCAGCTAAATCGCAGGAAAGCCCTAGGTGCACTGCGCTGCACCCACAGTGAGGGTAAACTGCAACACATCAGTGTGAAAACAGCCTTATAGAGAGTCAGGACAGTAAGGGATCGTTTTACATTTGCGGTTGGCGGGGCAGTAAAACCCCATAGTTGAGAGGTTGTTACCACACACCCCCAAACACTGGTGTAGCATCGGGAGTCAGAATGGCGACCTCACTCCATGGTCCATGGGGCCTGTGTGGCCTCCCTGTCGCATTCTGTTTTACATTTGGACAAGATGGGTGCTATATAGTGCTGACAGTGTTGACGCCTATCGGGTAATCTAGTACATGCACACAATAATGGGCTTCTTGCTGGATTTCGACTGCTGGGCAAGAGGCAACTTCACACCAATGTTCAGAGCTCTTCTATGGCATTTCAAAGATTATTATTAAGGAGATTATTCTCTAAACAAGGCCGCCAACAGCAAAATGTAAACAAAGCAACAGTGTATTCTTGTATTGTAGTTTTTTTGTTTTGGGTTTTTTCGTTTGTTTTTTTAGGTTTGTTGGGTAATTTTTACACTTTAATGCCTCATGTGCACTGGTGCTCCTATACGTGAGTTTAGGAGCTTTTGGCATTTTTATTTTTTTTGCCAAAGCCCCTGAACTCAAATCAATAAGACTGTGTCCATGGACACATTGGCTTTTACCATAGTTTAGGAGCAGTTAAACATTCCTCTCCTGAACGCAGAAGAATCACGTTCAGGAAAGGGATGTTTTGGCCAGAAAATCTAAACATGGCAAAAATGCATCTAAATGCTAGCTGTGTTTAACACTTCGGCGTTTATTCATGTCAGTGGAAAATACTCTGGCCGGTCGAATAAACGTCGAAGCACTAAACACCGGTCCTTCACATGTATTTTAGCTGCATTTGGTATTGCTGCATTACTTTGTGTACAACAGGCTTTTACAAAAAAAAAAAAAAAAACCCTCAGTTCCAGTATGAAAATGTTAGCCCTCCCATTTAAGGTCTATGGTTGACTATCATATTAAACCAGCTGCTAGCAGGCTTTTAACAAGTTTCAATTAGTTGTGAAAGTATGTCAAAATCTAATAATGGCTTGTTTAAAGTGAATCTGCACCCTACCCACCCCGTCACATGCATATCCCGGGAGGCACAGCATGCATGGGGAGGCGGGGATGGACTTTTTTTTTCTTAAAAGAAGAAAATGTTTAAAAGAAGAAAAAAAAGCGCAATACCTGTTGAGTGGAGGAGGAGTGGAGTGGAAGGAAGTAGTGGGAGAGGGTGAAGGTCCACTTTAATCTCCTCAAACTGCAGCTTAATGATAAAAAGAGTAGACAACAGTGAGCAGTCCTGATAAAAGCAGCTAATGCACTAAGGTAACCAAGTGAAAACCTCAAAAATTATGCTTGAAAGACTTCTGCAAAGCTTCCCTATGCTGTATACACAAGCTTACACCCATATGAACAAGGCTTCTAGTCTGTTATTTGTAAGCTGGGAATACATCACATTGACGTGTGAACACAGTGCGAACTAAAAGCGTGGCCAGTATTCACGTATTAGTATTGTAGTATTATATGCCTCTCATAAATTGGCTTGTGTGCTTCTGGGAAGCTAAAGGCTATTCTGCCAGCAGTCTTCATACCGTCGATGACACTTCATTTAAAACTGAAAATGTAGAGGACTTCAAGAGCTTTACAGGGAATGTAAAAGAATAGAGTAAAAAGATTGGATTAAATAAAAAAAAATAGTTATGAGAACAGGTAGCCAACATCAAAGTTGATGATAAAGACAGGAATAGATCGATTCTGCCTCCTTGGATCAATTAACAGAGGAACTTACAACACAGACTGGCCATTGCTACAATAATAATGAAAGGCCTAGCAAAAAAAATTCAAAAGTACATGTGTCTAAAAAGTGCAATGTATAACAAAAAAAAAGCGCAGCGCTAAATAGTGTTGAAGTCCATCAATTGCATACAGAAGTCTGTGCTCTAAAAACTTCTTAAATGAGTGAAACCAAACCATCAGAAGGAACAGAGAAACCCACATTCAGTGAATTAAAAAAAGGAGGAAAATTACATCTTTACGTTCCTGGTGAAAACGACAGACCTATAATAGCTCTTACCAGAGCTATTTGGATCATATTGAAAATCCAACAGCGCTTTAAGCGTTAACCCCAAACAATTCCCCAGTGTGTAGCGCAGAAACTATTGTGCCCTTGGCTCCTCTCCAACTCCGTTTTTTCCACCGGTAAATCATGCGAGAAATAAATACTAATAGTGCAGTGTGCCCAAAACTATAAAATTTATTAGGAATAAATGGATGCACTCACAATAGATATTAGTATCTTGTCAAAAAAAAGATTAGTATCTTATAAAAAAAAGTGCAGCACTTAATAATGTAAGTGCTGCACTTTTTTTGTTATACATTGTACTTTTTAGATACTTTTGAATTTTTTTTTATTTTTTCTAGGGCTTTCATTTTTATTGTAGCAATGGCCATTCTGTGTTGTAAGTTACTCTGTTGTTAATTGATCCAAGGAGGCAGAATTGATCTACTATTCCTGTGTCTTTATTATCCACTTTAATGTTGGCTACCTGTTTTCATAACTTTATTTTTTTATTTAGTCCAATCTTATTACTCTGTTCTTTTACATTCCCTGTAAAGCTCTTGAAGTCCTCTACATTTTCAGTTTTAAATGAAGTGTCATCTACTGTTCAAAGATTGCTGGCAGAATAGCCTTTAGCTTCTCTGAAGCACACAAGCCAATTTATGAGAGGCATATAATACTACAATACTAAAATGGGAATACTGGCAAGGCTTTTAGTTAGTACTGTGTTTACACGTCAATGTGATGTATTCCCAGCTTACAAATAACAGACTACAAGCCTTGTTTGCATAGGCATTAAAGGTTAAAAAAAAAGTTCTGAAATGATTTATCTTTGTCATTTTTTTACATCATAGAAATCTGACATTTAAAAAGGAGTGTGTAGACTTTTTTTTTATATCCACTGTATATGTCTGACGTTTTCACCAGGAACTTGTCGTCTTCCTCCTTTTTTGATTCACTGAATGTGGGTTTCTCCGTTCCTTCTGATGGTTTGGTTTCACTCATTTAAGAAGTTTTTTGAGCACGGACTTTTGTATGCAATTGATGGACTTCAACACTATTTAGTGCTGCACTTTTTGTGTTGTATATTGTTTGCGCTTAGACTAAATAATACATAAAAAATGGCTGACATAGGAATAGATACAATTGCTCAAAGATTTATCTGAATTTAAATAGTACAATGGTCAGAATTGTCTGGGCTATGTTGTTTTATCTCACTCTGTGGATGTGAAAGATAGCGAATGAAGAAGCAAGATAGGAAAAGTGTTTACCTTTGGCAGATGAATGCAGTCAAGGAAATTGTGAACATGCCATTACGAAGACTAGAATACCGAAACAGAAGACAGATCATTTAGGAGGAACACTATGCATGAGTTGCTGTCAACTTGATGGCACTTACATAGTTACATAGTCTGGCTGAAAAAAAGACAAAAGTCGATCTAGTTCACTTAATAAGATGTTACATACTACCGACGTTCTACCAATTGTAAAACATACAGTTGTGTTCAAAATAATAGCAGTCCAACATCATCAACCAGATCAATCACTGTTTTTGGTATGAATATTTCTACATGGCAAATAATTTACTAGTAGGTGTAGTAGTGTAATAGAAAACCAACAGAACCAACAGTCCTGACATGCATGCTGCTGATTCTGTGTAATTGAATCATTAATTGAAAGTGGAGTGTTTAAAATAATAGAAGTGTGGAGTTCAATTAGTGAGGTCATTCAGTCTGTGAAAAAATAGGTGTCAAACAGGGGGCCCTTATTAACCCCTTGGCGCCAGCACCTCCCGGCCCTTTAAGGGTTTCAGGAGGCGTGGCAGGGTTTTAAGGTCATGTGATTCGCCATCACATGATCGGGAAAGGTCGCGTGCTCTCGGTAGATATGTTTTTGTTAATTGCACGCAAATGTGCGGCCCCTCGGCATCAAGGCCCAGACGCCGGGAGGCCACACATTCACGCGTGGCCGGTGTGAAGAGGTTAAGGTCGAAGCCTGCAAATGTTGTACCTGCTGAGTATAGTGCATTTCTCTCTGAAAATGAGAAAAATGGGTCGTTCCAGACAGTGTTCAAAAGAACAGCGTGCTTTGATTAAAAAGTTGACTGGAGAGGGGAAAACATATAAAGAAGTGCAGAAACTGATAGGCTGCTCAGCTAAAATATCAAATGTTTTAAAATGGCAACCAAAACCAGAAAGATGTGGTAGAAAACCAAAAACTACCATTCGAATGGATAAATGAATAGCCAAAATGGCAAAGACTCAGCCACTGATCAGCTCCAGGGTGACCATAGAAGTTCTAACGTTACCTGTGAGTACTGTAACAATTTGAAGACGCTTATGTGAAGCCAAGCTATCGGCAAGAAGCCCCCGCAAAGTCCCATTGTTTAAAAAAGGCAAGAACGCATTGACTGGCCTAGAGAGAAATGGCGTAACATTTTGTGGACTGATGAAAGCAAGATTGTTCTTTTTGGGTCAAGGGTCCACAGCCATGTTTTCAGACAGCCCCCAAACACTGAATTCAAGCCACAGTACACTGTGAAGCATGGTGGTGTAAGCATCATGATATGGGAATACTATGGCGTTGGGTCTATTTATCGCATACCAGGGATCATGGATCAGTTTGAATACATCAAAATATTTGAAGAGGTCATGTTGCCTTATGCCGAAGTGGAAATGCCCTTGAAATGGGCGTTTCAACAAGACAACGACCCCAAACACGCCTGTGAGCAAGCAACATCTTGGTTCCAGACCAACAAGATTAACGTTATGGAGTGGTCAGACCAATCCGTGGACACTAATCCAATAGATAACTTGTGGGGCGACATCAAAAATCCAGTATCTGAGGTAAAACCAAGAAATGCAAAGGAATTGTGGAATGAAGTGCAGTTGTCCTAGGCTGGAATACCTGTTCAGATGCCAGAAGTTGGTTGGCTCTATGCAACACAGATGTGCAGCAGTTCTCAGAAACAGTGCTTATACAACTAAATATTCAGTGATTCACAGGAAAGCTAAATCTTCAACCAGGTGCTATTTTTGACCAGAAGTTCAATTGCAACTTGTGGGACCTAACGTTTGCCAGTTTATTTCATAATGCATGCCAGCAACAAGCCATTAAAAGAAATGTCACCAATCCACACTGGAGTTTCACATCTATTTTTAATGACCAACAAAGTTTAAGAAAAAAAAAAAATACACAAGCATTGGTGCAGATTCGCCCCAGTGTCTCCTCTTAAAAATGATCCTTTATCACATCCTAGGTCACTTTAGAGGGAAGTGACACACAAAAACATTTTGGTACAAAGCAAGATGCAACAGATCGAAACCGACAATGAGAACCCTATACAAGCCTCCATGTACTACTTTAGGTGTGGCATCGCATCTACCTTGATCAGGCTGACTCATCAGACCATTACTTTTTGCTCATCTCATTAAGTTTTATACATGCTTATTTTTCCAAGCAATATATAGAAACATATTCATATCAATATAGTTATAATGATCCAGTCAGTGTGTCATGGCATTTTTTTGATCCATCACAAGGATCAGTGTTTTCAGCCAGTCATTATTAAACAGATATCTGAATCAAGATTTTACCACGGATTCTGTAAACTTATTACTTGAGGCCCTTTCATGTTGGAGAGCACCATTCACACATTAGTTTACACATGCTGAATCTGAGTAAGTCCATTTACGATCGTTGCAGGTAATTGTTGATTGTGCAAACAGTCACCAATAGCTATTTGCATACATCTGTCAATTCTAGCCGCAGGAATTAGCAGATTCTTGTTGCTGGAATTTGTAGTGTGTGTGTAAACATCCATGCTAATGTGAAGCCTTAAGCCGGCTGTACAAGAATTGAAATTGAATCTGCATTCCGATCCATGTATGGGCTCCCTGGTTGGATAGAAGTCAATATATCAATCATCTTCAGTACAACCAGCCTGTCGGGTATTTCCCAGTTGATCACCAGCAGCACTGATCAGTGTGTTCTGATGGCAAGGAAATCTCCCTGCTGGTTGAACAAAAAAAAAAAAAATTAGTATATGGGCTGCCTTAGTCTTTGTTCCACAGTGGACTCTTCTTCACTTTGAGAAATTAAATACATTTCTGATCCAGGGTCTCTCATCTTCATCTTCTGATATTTCATGATGCAGCATTGCAGAATGTCAATAATTCTGACACTTTGCAGGCTGTGGATAACGGCTGTAAGTGGGTTAAATTTTGAACAAAAATTCTTGGGAAAAGAATGTCATAAGAGTGTTTGTTTTTCAAATTAATATTGAGTCAAATTGTCCTATGTCTTCAACTGCAGTGGATGGGAATTTTTTCCCAAAGTAAATGTGAAATGTGGCTTTAAGTAGTTCAGAATCGCCACATAAGGAAATCAGAGATTTTCAAACCAATCTCGAATGCATACTGAATTCTGGCTTCAATTGCTCATCTACATAAGCACTTAGATTTAGTTGTAACAAAATCTGTAAGAAGCAGGTGTTGATCACATTATTATCTGTTACAGGTATGAAATACAATATGCTCCTCAGCCTCCCCAAGCTGTCTGTCAGTTCCTTTCTGCCACTGAACTGGCCCTGCAACGCTATTATGCTGATACAAATAATAGGCTTTTGAGGCAAGTAGAACGACTGAAACAAGAGGTGGCAACTGTTCCAGTTTGTGAAGAGCAGCTGAAAGAAATTGAGCGCTGTATTAAGGTTTTTCTGCATGAAAATGGTGAGGAGGGTTCCCTGAGTCTGGCTAGTGTGGTCGTATCTGCTCTCTGCGCTCTCACAAGGTAATAAAAAAAAAATGTGGATGTAAACACTCCTCAGTTTAACCCTTATTAAGTTACAGAAGTGTAAATTGTTCTATGTGTACTTGCCTATAATCTTTTTTTTTTTTTTTTTTTTTTTTTTTTTTTTTTTTCTTATCTTGAATTTGTGTCCTACATTGCAAATTAGGTTGACAAAAATGTATGTACTGGCTGATTAAATGAAAGACTCATCAGAACTGAGGTGTTTGAAGCAAACTATTTGTAATCACTGCTTTCTAAAACAGTAGTAGTGTCATAGTACATAAATTGATGTAGATCATGCAGGAAGGTCAGAAAGACTATAGACCTAGTCTGCAGTGATAATGCTCCCTGTATACATATACACCAATCAGCCATAGCATTATGACCACCCACCATATCCTGCCAAGGCATGGGCTCCACTACACCTCTGAAGGTATGCTGTGGTATCTGGCACCATGCTGTCATTAGCAGAACCTTTAAGTCCTGTAAGTTGCAAGGTGGGGCCTCCATGAATCAGACTTGTTTTTCCAGCACATGGCACAGATGCTCAGTTGGATTGAGATCTGGATGATTTCATATACAACAGACTGCGATGCACTGTTTTGACACCTGTCTGTCGGATCCAACATTAACTTTTTCAGCAGTTTGAGCTACAGTAGCTCTTCTCCTGGATCGGACTAAACAGTCCAGCCTTCCCTCTCACATGCATTAATGAGCCTTGACCACCCATGACCCTGTTGCCTTTTTGCAGGGTTTCCTTTCCTGGACTGCTTTTGATAGGTCCTTACCACTGCAGACCAGGTACATCCCACAGTAGCTGCAGTTTTAGAGTTGATCTGACTCTGTCTAGTCATTACAATTTGGCCCATATCAAAGTTGTGCAAATCCATATGCTGCCCGTGTTTTTCTGCTCAACTGCAGGGACAACATGTTTACTTGCTGCCTAATACAGTAAATCCCAGCCACTTTGTTACCATTGTAACGAGATAATCAATATTATTCCCATTACCTGTCAATGGTCATAATAATATGGGTGATCAGTTTAATGATGCAAACTGTTGATATTCGCCTGTGATCTTAAGGGTAAATATCTCGTTGCTCAGGAGTCTCTTAATGAAAGTGACGGAAGGAAACATCATGACTTTAAACTTTTGAGTTTACTAAAGACAAGGAATACACAGGTGATTTTAGTACCTCAATCATGCTACTAAAATTGCTAGAGATTGATTGCTAAAAATAGCTGTCAGTCGCTAAACAGATGGAACAGAACACCCCCAGTGTTTTAAACTACACAAGGAGCACATTCTAGAAATTATGCATTATCACACAATGGTGCGAAGGTAAACGGTTATCTGCTCTTACATGTTAATTGTGTAGTTGACAGGTAGTTTATTTAAATTATCTCTGTGTTTCTGCCATAGAGGGAATTTCATCCACATTACCTAAATGCAAGCAAAAACATATTTTTCTTAATTGTACATTTATAAACAGAAGATGAAGTAATTTGAGTACATTTGGTCATGCTGTGGCCTTCAGGAGATTAGACACCAGTAAAGCTATAGGACAGCCTAATATTAAAATGGTCGTGAGAACCACAATCGGGCTCAGGGTAGGATTTCTGCTGCTGTTCCTAATTTTTAGAGAAATGAATTGCACGTGCAGGCCGGACAATAATCACACTGACAACTGTGCAGTATAACCACGTCCTCGACTCTGTTTTATTGCAGGGCGGTGCTTAACCTTTTATACATAGAAAACAGTAGAGTATACGTCACTATTATGTAAATACAGTCACATTCTAAAAGGCACATTTTGCTTGGCTGAAATATGGGAGAAGTTCAGAAACTTGAGGCCCGTTATCTTTTCACTCCCCCTCACATATTCAAGGCCTAAGTAAGATCCTCTCAGTGCGAAGGGAGGGTTTGAGAACATCGCTCTGAACAAACAAGTTGAGGACTGCAAAGCCCAGCAGACAAATATATACGCACAAACACATATATTTAGAAATATGAAAAAGTATATATATATAAAAATGTATATTTTAAACAGGAAACAGAATAGGCATTTTATCAGATCTCTCCCTTGAGAGAAGCAAACCATTTTTCTTAAATTTTTTTCTTCTAGCAATTTTCTACAGTTACTGCAGAGCCATAGCAGACTCATTTTGCAGCTTTCTGAATCTGCTGACCCTGGGCACTGCCACACCAGCCATATCACAACCCAACTGAAAGGGATAAGCCAGGCTGATCTGTATTGTGTTTTTGGGCACTGGGTTCTGCTGAAGGTGTTTGCTTAGACTTAAGTGGAACATGCGAGTAGCTGTATACAGCACTTCACATGTCCAGGGTTGCTGTGTAAGGATAGTCAATAAGTGTTCACTAGGTAGTCAATAGGTGTACAGAAGCTGGATCAAACAAAGTAAACTGGGAGGACAGTTTGGGTGGATATTCCACAGGAGGGATCCTTTGATTTGGTAATGGATCCAAAACCAGCAGGCTTGAAAAACTGAAGAGATCTAGGTAGCAAGCAAACTGAGCAGAGTGCAAAGACTACATGTAGCAGGTAACACATTTATTGGAAAAAGACAATTAAAAACTCTTATTTAGTAAAATCAAAAGAGCATATCAAAGTTCTCTGCTGGCTTTCACAACTGAGAGGGAACCGTGAAGGGTTATCAATACGGATACCCCCAAGTAGTTGTCCTGATGTTTTCAGTAGTAATCAGAGAGAGAGCTAGAGGGTACCAGACTAAGTGCAGTAAGATAGAAGAATGGGTACAGCACACACATTTGTCAACTCATATTGTATAGGCATGCACATGAATGGTATGCTAAGGTGCTAGTCACAAGCACTCTTGCAACTTCTGGAAGACATCCAGGATCCCAGGAAGGTGCTGCCACTGTGGGGATGGAGTTGGGTAGCCAGGGTAACCGGGAAGCCTCTGGAGGAAGCAGCAAGTCCAGAGGACTTGTTGGCTTAAATGTTGATCTGCAGTACATAAGAACTAGGAATGCTTCCTGTGTATGCCTTCGATGAGAAATGCCCCTTGATTCATCCCTGGACAATTAACCAGGGACAACAGCAGAGGCGAGAGTACCCTTTGCCCCAGCAAAGAAGACTGAGTTTTCGTTTCAGAAACCTTCCATCTCTGTGTCTGAGTACCTATTGTTTATTCCTGGCCTCTAGATCCATAGCCAAGCTTGGGACTCGGCGTTGCGTCAAGTCTTGGACTTCTAAATCCTCCACACCTGCAAGCAAATCCCTCCCACAATGAGGGGATCCCCCCCACTTTAGAGAGTGTGTGGTACATCTGTTGGTCTTTGCAGGTATATGGCCCAGGACATTCGAAAACTCTGGTCCAGAAAATTGTCCAGGGGATTCATTCTAGAATCTCCAACTTCATGTTGCCTAACTTCCCATCATTGTCATTATCTCCGGTGGATTTGCACGCTGCCCTGGCATAACTCCCCTCCTGGGTAACAAAATGTTTTACCAGGGACGAGGCTGGCACGGCATGTAGCAGGGTGTGTTGCTGAGCAGCTCCGCCAGTGATCCTAACAATTCTCCTGACAGCGCTGACATCCTGGTTTGCAATTGCTCCTAAAGCACCCGGCTTCCATTCTCATCGCTCTGGCTATCTGTGGCTGCAGCTATTGTGAGGGTAGGCAGTGTCCTAACGGGGGAAAAGACTGCCGTGCAGAACCCGACTTGGCAGGCCAGGATGGCGGCTTCCTGCTCCGCTCAGCTAAAGAAGCTGCTGAGAGACTCTTTGCTAATACCCTGGCTAAGGACACACTGACCTCTGCCTTACACACTTCGGTCAGTAGTGATACTGCTATGGATCCTGGTGATTAAGACGTTAACTTCCCTCAGGCTGAGTCCGCCACCAGCTCTCATGTGAGTATACATTTTCCTACAACCACATGGCGTCGGCCATACAGCAGACAGACACGGACTCTGATCCCACTTTGAGGGAAATCCTCTCTGTTGTTACCTGCAACTCCTCGATTGCTACCTTAACTGGGGAGATTAAGGGCATGAAGGTGGAACTTTCCTTCGTACGGCAAGAGATGCAAAAGCTTAGAGACCACACTTCTGCCTTCGAAGCCTGGCGTATATTTCTGTTGAATACTATTCATTCCTGGATACAGTTTCTGTGATTACTGACTTGTCAGTATGCACCTGTTCGGGGCTACAATGTTTCCCCCCACACCATGGTTCTGCGTGGACCCATAGTTTATTATTGACGAAGGTACCCAGTCCCCGTTCAGACCTGGTTGGTCCAGTCTTTTCTAGGCGTTGCATGGTTTTGTTTTTTTTTTTTTAATGTTTTTCCATTTTAAGTGGAACTTTTTCGCACTGCTCACTTCTTGATCCTCAACCCCTATGTCACTGACTGACCAACTGGACTTTACTTTAGCTGCCGGGTATTACAGTATCAAGATCCCCTTGCTTCTTTATGCTACCTATTGAATCACAACAAGCTATAGATATTATTTTTATTTGGAAGGGGTGCCCCCCCTCCCCTCCGGGCCCTCTTTTAATACCTGTCTAGCCTTATGTCAAGTACTGCTACCAAAGTATACATTTGATGTCCTGGAACATAATAGGACTAGGTGATGAAATCAAACAGGGAGCAATGTTTACATATGTTAACCAGTTAGTGTCTCCTGTGATATACTTACAGAAAACCCATTTAAAACCGGATTCCATCCATCTGCTGCGTTCTCGCAAATATCCTACTAAGTTCCACTCCACCTAGTCCTCTTTCTCTAGAGGTGTCAGTATATTGGTTTCCAAATTGATCCCTTTTATGTCTGAAGTAACAAATTGTCAAATGCGAGCGACATGTATTTCTGCTTTGCAAAGTAAATGGGGTTTCGTGCATACTAGCTGCTATTTACTGTACATCCCCCCACCCTTCTATTATGAACCCTTAAAAAGGTTGGTTCAATTTATGGCCCCCTACCCAGATGTTCCCGTTTGGGCACAGGGAGACAAATTATTTTTTTGGACCCAGCACTAGACAGGTTTTCTGTTACTCCAAAGGGAGCCACTCAATCAGCGCAAGCTACTGCCTTTGCCAATCTAATTATTGAAATGGGTCTGGAGGGAGAAACTTACTGATATGAAATGCTACTCATGCTATTCAGACACCCATGGAGGTCTCTCCAGAATAGATATGGGACTAGGTAATTCATTGATGATGCCCTATGTAATGTACTCTGCCTATGAGCCTCGGCTACTCTCATCATTCTCCCTTCCGGGTGCGCCTTTCAGCCTCAGTCTAACCTCACCGCTCCTTGTGGCATGTCAACCCTTTTTGACCAACTCTTTCAGGCTTGGGACCCCCTGCTTACAGCTTTAACTTGTATCCTTGAAATAAATGTAAGGTCAGTCTCGGCAGCCATCCTGTGGGATACATTAAAGGCATTCTTACATGGAATAATTATAAGGGAAATCACGAGCATTAAGAAAAGCCCTCAGGAATGGGAGGAAGTTGTTAGGCAGGAAGAACAAAATGTTTTGGGGTTTCTAGTCAACTTCAGTTTCCAAGGGTGCTTTTGCCCAATGCTAGATCCAAATGTTCTCAACCTTTTCTGCATGGAATATGCAATGTTGGCCATTGCTTCCCTCCACTTGGAAGTGTCCTGGCCTCTGTAGACATCAGGGTTTCCTACTTGCATATTCCTATTTTTACAGTGCATCAACTCTACCTGCACTTTGCCTGTGGGCACACAATGCTACCAGTTCATTGCTCTTTCTTTTGATCTGTCCACTGCACCTTGGCTTTCACCAAGGTGCTAGCCCTGTACTTGTCTGTCTCACTCACAGGGAATTCCCATAATGGAATGCCTTGTAGACTTTGAGGGAATGAGCAGTGCAGAGTTTTTTTAGTCAACGTTCAACAGACCTTTCAAATTCTGTAGAGGTTCAGGTGGATCTTAAAATCAAGGATTCAGCTCTGGAATTGGCACATTGCTTGGAGTATTTAGGCCCTTCTTTGAAACTGTTCTTCCAGGATTTTCTTTCCAATGGAACGACTCAAACACCCCAATTTTGTATGAAGGTTCTGAGCTAAAGGGGGCCTCTTTGGGGCTGTTGCATGTGCTCAGTATCCATCAAGACTTGCAGCTCAGCATTCTGGCTGAATGGGACTAATAGGCACAGTCTCTGAACCATCGCTTGCAGCCAACCCTCATGACTAGGCCAGCCCTGGCTGGATTGCTCTGTAGAGTTGGAAAAGTGCTTCCTCCAGCTGGTCTATAAGGTTTTTACTATGGTCGCCAGCCTGTCTAGCTAGGGGAGGAGTCCTGGACACTCTCTTGGCTCCAGGGACTTGGTCATCAGAGGACTCTTGTCTCGCAATCAATATTCTGAAACTCAGTGATTGTTATCCCTTCAATACTGGACCTTTTTTGCTGCCACGTCATCCAACCAGTATTCACTTACACATCGCCACATCCGTGGTTTACATAAACCATCAGGGAGAAACCAAAAGACTTTCAGTTCAGATGCTGATCAGATCCAGGCTTAAGCAGAAAAATGGCAGGTAGACTTCCTTCGTAGTCAATATCTGAACTAAGGGGAATGGTCTCCTCACCTTAAGGTGTTTCAAGACCTCTGTTGCAGGTGGGGGGGGGATGCCAAATAGAACTCCTGGCTTCCAGATGCAACTAGAACCTGTCCCGGTTCGTTTAATGGTCCAGGCATTATGTAGCTATTACAGTGGATGTTTTGGTGATTCTGTGGGATCCATTCAACTTTTGGATCGGCTTAGCCTTGAGTACCTTCAAGGGTCATATCTTAGCCCCTAGTAGTTCTTTTTCAAAGACAGCTTGCCTCTCATGCCTTAGTAATAGCCTTTGTACAAGGTGGTGGTCACATTATTTTCCCTTGTTTGTCCCCCAGTGACAGCGTGGGATGTCAGCCTGGTTCTCTGTTCTTCAGAAACAGCCCTTTGAATTGATCAGATATTTTTATCTTCTTACTCACAAGGTTGCCTTCCTCATTGCCATCACCTCTGCAAGGAGAGTTTCTGAGTTGCCTACCTTAGTCTGTCAAACCACAGAGACAGGTTTGTCTCGAGGCCCAAGGCCTGTTTCTTCCCAAGGAGGTTGTTTCTCCACCCTTTGTCCTGTTCCATGACTTCCAAAAAAATAATTCCCTCTGATCTCTGGAGTTGGTACTCTGTTCAAGTATATCTATCCATTACAGCTTGATTTAGACATTTCCTGAAGGGCCCCCATTGGGGATAGCCTTTTTCTCATTTCACTATCACCAGGTGGTTTTGGCAGTTCCTCATTTAAGCCTGTGGACATGGAGACAAAGATTCACCTTTCCCTGTAAACCACTTTCCACCAGATCAGTTGGTGCTTTCTGGGTTTTTTTAGCATCAGGCATCTGTTCTCAAATCTACCAGGCTGACACCTGGTTTTAGGTTTTACCAGGTGGATGTTCAGGCATCCTCTGATGCTGGCTTCTGTTGTGATTTCCCTTTGTTTTAACCTGTTGGTCTTTGTTAGGCTACTGGCATTTTATGTTGTTGTTGCCCACACATTAGTGCTTTTGGACATCTCAATGTACCTAAATTACTTAATCCTGTGTCCCTTAACCTCTTGCCGACCGCGCATAGCCGAATGACGGCTTCACCGCGGCCGGCCAGTTCTGGGTGGACGTCATATGACGTCCTCCCAGAACGCGCTCTCCTGCGCGCCCCAGGGGGCGCGCACACCGGCAATCTCCGTGATCGCTGTGTCCTATGGACACAGCTGATCACGTGATGTGGTAAAAGGCCAATCACAGCGGCCTTTTACCACGTGATCAGCGGTGTCCAATGACACGCTGATCACAGGGAAATGCAAGTGCCGGTTCTCGGCTGCACTTTCCTCACGCTGTCAGATCGTGAGGAAAGTACTGCCGAGAACCGGCAGTTGTCAGAGCCGGGATCGGCACCGATCATCAGGGCACTGATGATCAGTGCCCTGATGATCGGTGCCCAGCAGTGACACCCGCAAGTTCCGCCCAGCAGTGCGCCCACTAGCTCCGCCCACCCGTGCCCAGCAGTGCCCCCACCTGTGCCACTCTGCAGTGCCACCTACCTGTGCCCAGAAGTGCCACCTACATGTGCCCAGCAGTGCCACCCACCTGTGCCCACCAGTGCCACCCACCTGTGCCCACCCACCAGCGCAGCCCACCAGTGCCACCCACCAGCGCAGCCCAGCAGTGCCACCCCACCAGTGCAGCCCAGCAGTGCTGCCAGTCAGTGCCACCAGTCAGTGCCCAGGGGTTGTGCCAGTCAGTGCCGCCAGTCAGTGCCCAGCAGTGATGCCAGTCAGTGCCGTCTATCAGTACCCATAATCAGTGTCACCTATCAGTGCCGCCTATCAGTGCTGCATATCAGTGCCGCCTATCCGTGACCCCTAATTAGTGCTGTCTATCAGTGCCGCCTATCCGTGCCACCTCATTAGTACTGCCTATCAGTGCCCTTTAGTGCTGCCTATCAGTGCCCATCAGTGCCGCCTATCAGTGCCCATCAGTGCTGCCTCATCAATGCACATCAGTGAAGGAGAAAAAATACCTGTTTAAAAAATTTTATAAAAGAAACAAATAAACTTTTTTTTTTTTTAAATTTTTTATTTATAGCGCAAAAAGTAAAGCGCCCAGTGGCAATTAAATACCACCAAAAGAAAGCTCTATTTGTGAGAAAAAAATGATCAAAATTTCATATGGGTACAATGTTGCATGACCGCGCAATTGTCAATCAAAGTGCGGCAGCACTGAAAGCTGAAAATTGGCCTGGTAAGGAAGGGGGTATAAGTGCCTGGTAGGCAAGTGGTTAATGGACAATTAACAGAAATGACTTACAGTAAAATTCTTTTAAGTACTTAAGGGGCACAGGTCCATCCCCTCTGTATGATGTATCCGTCTGCTTTGATGTAAACCCAGAGTCCAATGGAAGAGGAAGGCGTTATACTACAGGTCAGTTTGCCAGTGTCCAATCTCCTGAAACAGCATAACCCAGTATACCTTTTAATTCATTATTAACCTATTTACCTTAATTCATGCACAAACAAAAAATTGTATTATACACACAATGTAGTCTCTGTCATTTTATACTTCAGACGTAATTTGATGATGGAAGGAGCTGCTTCCAGTGCTGGAGAACAACTGGTGGATCTTACATCTCGGGATGGAGCTTGGTTCTTAGAGGAACTCTGCAGTATGAGTGGCAATGTTACATGTCTTGTCCAGTTATTAAAACAATGCAAGCTAATCCCTCAAGATCTGGATATACCCAATCCACTGGAGGCTTCTGAAGCTGTACATCTGGCTAATGCAGTTTACATTTCTTTGCAGGTAATTACTTGCCATGTTGCTTACAAGTTTCTTTAGGATAGATACTGTATTTTCTATTTTCTCCACACTGCGAATTTTACTGTATTTTAACTTCTTGTGACTATAGGGATCTACTGAATCTAACTGATTTACAGTGCTCAGCATAAATGAGTACATCCCAACAGTGCTCAGCATAAATGAGTACATCCCAACAGTGCTCAGCATAAATGAGTACATCCCAACAGATTTGTCAGAAAACCTTTGCTTTCCTTACAGAAGCAACATTTTCTCTGGGACACTATACTACAAAATACGCCCACAAATGCGGGCCATTGATTTGCAGATTGGTTAATTTACACACACAAAGTATTTTTCCTAACAAATTAATTCAAGCCTATGTTGCAAAAATGAATACACCCCAATGGAAGTCTTGGGAGCAAAGCTAAATTTTAGACAAAATCCTAATTAACAAAAATTCAACTACACGTGAGTCTAATTATTCATTAAACTAGTGTCCAGCAAGCAGTTGATTATAAAAGGGCATTACTTAACCCCTTCCCATTTCATGCTGTCAGCAATGGCACCACATGGAAGAGAAATTTCACAAGGCCTGAGAAAGAAAATAATTTCTTTACACAAGAAAGGTGAGGGCTACAAGAAGATCAGCAAAGCTTTACTTATCAGTCAGAACACTGTAGGAAAAGTGATCCAAAAATTTTGCAAAGATGGAATTGCAACCATCTCACTGAGACATCCAGGCCGTCCATGGAAGTTAACACCTCAACAGGAGTGTCTTCTGATGAGAAAGGTTGAAGAAATTCACCATGCAAGTTCACTGCAGTTAGCTAAAGAAGTACAAAGCCAAACTGGAGTTATTTGATTCCTGTGACACAATACGGCTTACACAGCAGAGGAATGGCATGCATGGGTGTCATCCACGAAGGAAGCCTCTCCTAAAGCCCATGCACGAAAAAGCCCACCTATAATTTGCTAGGGCCCATGCTGAAAAAGACTACTGGGACTCTGCACTGTACAAAACTGTATGGCATTGCAAAGGTGAGTACAAAGAAAAATGCATGGTGCCTACAGTAAAACATGGTGGTGGCAGTGTCCCTCTGTGGGCTGCATGAGTCCTGCTGGTGTCAGGGAGCTGTATTTCATTGATGGTATCATGAATTTACAGATGTGCTGCTCTATATTGAGAGAAGATGCTACCATCACTCCGTGCCCTTGGTCGTCGTGCACTTTTCCAACATGACAAAGATCCAAAACACACATCTAAGGTTACTGTTGCATTTCTGAAGAACAGGGTGAAAGTGTTTCAGTGGCCCAGTATGTCTCCTGATCTGAACTCAGTTGAACACCTATGGGGAATTCTGAAGAGACAAGTTGAGCATCACCCTCCATCCAGCATCCAGGCTCTAACAGAGGTCGTTCTTGAAGAATGGAAAAAGATAGATGTTGCAATATGTCACCAACTTCTTCATTCCTAGGAGACTTGATGCTGTCCTTACAAATCATGGATGTCATTCAAAAAGTATTTTGTTGTGGGGTGTATTCATTTTTGCATCAACTAATTTGAGTAAAACTGAAGATTTTGTAATCCAAGTTATATTAACTTTTAATATGAAGAAAAACAATGTGCGCTATCATAAAATTGTGAAAACCATTAATTGAGCTGCTGCAATGACACTTAAAAGTGATCCCACACTCAAATCATAAAATATATAACAACAGTGTTGCGCTAACTCATAAATACAATAACATATGAAAATAACCAAAAAGCCTTATTATTAATGTGACAATTTGATCAAACGGTGGTGCTTGAAAGGTGCTTATTATATGCAATGTGCTCCAAAATGCTGAAACTTAAAACGACAGTGCTCCACCGTGACTTTGTGCACCTCCACCTATAGGTACAGAGGGCCACTCACCTCATACAATGGACTTATAAATTAATATAGGTCACCCAAGGATAGTAGTTCCATCAAAGAGGCTCCAGGTGGCAGCAAAGAGCTGATAACAGGCACCACCTCAGATGACACTATATACGGAAATCCTCTCAGCTTTAAACTCCACATGTAGGAAGAAAAACAACTCCCATAGCGTAATACTGTTTATTTTAAATTAAAATGTGTTCCAGAGTAACACTCATATAGTACTGAATGACAGATCGGTTTTAACATGGAAAGTTCCGATCCGCAAATGTGTAGGCAATTGGCAAGCACATTTCCTTAGCTGGCGGTGTCGGAATTTGGGTAGTGGTCCTTTCACCTGGTGGTGTTTCAGACCTGTTGGGATGCCATATAGGGGCCTCTAGCCTCAAGGTTCAACAAATTGTGTACAAATTTGTCTACAGGTACAGGGATCATTTAGCAAAAGCAGTGCATGCTCTATGGGATCAGTACATCCTGATCTACGCTTTTCTCCCATGAAAATTCTTTTTCATCTGCTTTGCATGATCAAGATGGGATTCCAGTGATAATCGTTGCTCCAAACTGGCCCAAGTGGGTGTGGTATACCAACCTGGTAAGACTCCTGATGGGTTATCTACGGGGTCTACAACAGAGGTATTGAATTAAAATTCAAGGAGGTCCGGTCACTAAAATTCTCTTCTGGCCGAGGTCCGAATAGGGTGTGCCCCCTTACATTAGGTGTAGCCATCAGAGTGTAACTTTACATTCCCATCACATCAGGTGTGCCCATCATAGTGCTCATTTACATCATGTTATCCCCATCACAGTTCCACCTTACATCAGGTATTCCCATCAGATTGTCCCCTTACACTCAAAGTACCCTTTTTCTATCATATTTCCCCATTAGACTACCCCTTTCCACAGTATGTGCCCGTCAGAGTGCCCTTTAAAATAAAATGGGCCCATCACAGTGCCCCTTAACATAAAATAAGGGGCACTCTGATGGGCCTTTTTTTTTGTTGAGGGGCACTCTGATGGGTGTCAGTCTTTATGGACCCAGAAAGGGTGCATTGGTTTCTCATTTCACCATTTCTAGGTTGCTCGGTATCATGCAAGCTTATGGTCTCAAGGGTCAGGTTCCACCCTTTCCTGTGAAGGTGAACTCTGCTAAATCTGTGAGTGCTACTTGGGCTTTTTCACTTTAAGCAGCTGTTTCCCAGATTTGCCAGGTTGCCATTTGGTCTTTTGTTCACATGTTCTCTAAGTTCTACCAGGTGGATATATTGGCTTTATCTGATCCCAGCTCTTTAAAGCTGCAGGCAGTTCCCAGTTGCTGGTTTCTTTAGCCTGTTGGCGTTTCCTGTGTCATCCACCCCTCGGTTGGACTGCTCTTGGACGTCCCAAAGGTTTAAGACTTGGCTATGCTCTTCAATAGATAAGAAAGAAAAATAATTTTTGTACTGGTCATAAAATCCTTTTATCTGGTATCAGCTGAGGAACAAAGGAAGTTTTTGATTTTCGGGTTATACTGCCACCTAGCACTGCCATTATGTACAGAGCATAATCAAACACTGGTGGGACTTGTATCCCTCAATTAACAAAGAAAAGGATTTTAAGAGGAGTACAAAAATCATGTTTTCTGTGGACAGATTGAACTTTGTACTACTCTGCAGAATTTTAATGGGTGCCATGACCGAAAAAAGGTTAAACACTGGTTTTCAGGCCTTGAAGTGACTATAAGATGGTTTGACCCATTTAATTAATGAAACCATTGTTCTTTTTGTTTGAAAGGAATTGAACTCAAATTTTCGTCAGATTATTTTCCCTGAAGCTCTCCGATGCTTAATGAAAGGAGAGCAGACACTGGAGAACATGCTTCAAGAGTTAGATAACCTGATAGAGCAGACCACTGATGGGACATCACTACAGAACATGGTCGAATTGCTGCAGACTTACCTAAGAAATGCAGCCATGGGCCTAGAAGATGAGGCAAATGCTCACTACATTGATGTTGCAAGGTATTATATATGCTGTTTTTGAAGTTATTTTGCTTTGGTTGATTTTTCCTGTTCGCACTAGTGCATGGCGTTTACAAAAGTCTTGGCAAAATGGGGCCATCCCCTACAAAGGTAAATGCTATTCTCCATTATAGACTGGAAGATTTTGTGTGTAATTGTCCATTAGCAGCATAACTTGCAGTAAAATATTTCCTTTGATGTACAGTGATGTGTAACATTTAAAGGTAAGGTCATTGCTGATCTGCCTGTTTCAAAGGATTATATGATTAGTTAGAAGTCTCTTCGAAGGTGTAAATCGGCAGCACTGTCCATGTGAATTTCCTGCTATTTTAGGGATTAATTCAAACCTAATTACTGCTTCTGAGAAGGTATTCCAGGATCAGAAGCCAAGATTTACCTTGGGCTACCATCTGCAGGTGACAATTGGTTCAGCAGCCCAGTCATTTTGGTGTAATATTCTGTCTAACATGTTGAAGTCAGGAAGGTACTTCAGAGTATAATAGACCACATAGAAGAATTTTTGCTAAAAATCAGTATTTTAAGGAATTGACAGCATGGATTCATGAAAGACCAAAAGAGTCAAACGGGTCTGATTCTTTTTATGGAAGAAGTAAAAGTAATGGTTAAAACTTCCATATTCGTGTTTTCAGATGATGGCAAACTATGTAGAGGAATAATTTTTTTACAAGATGCCCCCGACTTACAAGCCAACCTCAATGCACTATTTAATTGGGCAGCCATGTTGCAAATGAGGTTCGATGTTGATAAATGTAAAGTTATGCACCTGGGGCCTGAAAACATGCATGCATCATACATTCTAGAAGGAGAACTGGGGGAGTCAATGAAATAAAAGGATCTAGGTGTACTGGTAGATCATGAACGTAACCAGTTTCCGCCCGGCTTATAGTTAAATGAGAAGCGAGCGGGACTTTCGTCGATGCGGGTAGATGTCATTTGATGTCTCCCGGATCGGCACCTCACGAGATCTGTCACTGTCTGTGTCCATCAGGCATATGATATATCACAACGGCTAAATCTGTGTCTGTAGTGTATGTTCAAACCTTAATACCATAAATAAACATATTAGATTTTTACTCCAGGAATGAGTGTGGAAATTCTAGAGAAATTCTTAAATAATGCATTACAATTTAACTAAACCCATTTGATTTTAATCGACTAAAATACAACTAAAAATAAAATGGCATGTTAGGCAAAAAACTGACTAAAAATGAACTGAAATTTGATGGCAAAATTAACACTGGTATTAACACCAGAGATTGTTGATCTCCCCCTGCTGGAGAAAATTGGACCATGCTTCATAGTTTGATGCATTCCAGCTATAGGTATAGGATTGCGCATATGGAGGTTTTCTATTTTTTTTCTATTGGTTAAACAAACCACTTACAATGGTTCTTCAGCCCACTTGTGAATGGTCCTGCAGTCTCTTGGGACCTGTGACGCATCCCAAGAGGCTGTGGGGAGAGAAGGGGGGACACAAACTTATGCTCCAATCTCCTAGGTGGCCAGAGCTGAAGTGGGAGCGGGTACCTGTCACAACCAGGTACCCACTGCACCCAAACCCCCCATCCCCCCCCCCCCCAAACCTAAAAAAAAAGGAAATAAAAGTTGCCAATTATGACATAGAAGGGGAATGAGGAAGAATAGCAGAACTTCCACTTTTGGGTGAAATTTTTCTTTTCACTGTGTTAACTACAGTCAGGTCCATAAATATTGGGACATCGGCCTGGCAGAGCATCACCAGGGATGAAACCCAGCGTCTGGTGATGTCTATGCGTTCCACACTTCAGGCTGTAATTGATTGCAAAGGATTTGCAACCAAGTATTAAAAAGTGAAAGTTTGATTTATGATTATTATTCTGTCCCATTACTTTTGGTCCCTTAACAAGTGGGAGGCACATATGCAAACTGTTGTAATTCCTACACCGTTCACCTGATTTGGATGTAAATACCCTCAAATTAAAGCTGACAGTCTGCAGTTAAAGCACATCTTGTTTGTTTCATTTCAAATCTATTGTGGTGGTGTATAGAGCCAAAAATGTTAGAATTGTGTCGATGTCCCAATATTTATGGACCTGACTATATGTAAGATTGCCATTACTGACCACCACATGAAAATGTTCCCTGGCTATTTTGGAAATCTACTAGCTTTAATATTTTGAGCCATCAACGTGAAACCAAAATGTTAATCAAACACGTCAAAGGTACTTATTTGCTTATTTGTTCCAGGTCAGTAACTCATTGTTGAAGCTAATTGTCATGATAGCCTGACAACTTTCATTTTTGAGAGGTCAGCAATGGTAGTGTTCATGCTTATCTTGCCTCAAGTTACCTTTAAAGTCTCTTTAAAAGCAGTATTTTGTCCCCATACCTGGATGTTTTTATTAGTGCAATGGCATGGTTATCATGTCTAATTAAATGCAATAACTCTGCATGGTGTCCCGTGTGCTGGTGACTGGTGTATTCCTTAACCACTTCAAAACCAGGCCAACTTTGACATTTACATGTTAAAATTCTGCATTTTTTTTTGTTAGAAAATTACTTGGCCTCAAACTTAATTTTTTTTTAAAGCAGAGACCATGAAGAATAAAATGGTGGTTATTGCAATTTTTTATCTCGCACCATATTTGCACAGCCATTTTTAAAATACAAATTTTCAGGAAAAAATACTTTCATGAATTTTAGTGCACACACACAATCAAATATTTTACCAATTTTTAGTAAAATATAAAAGATGTTACACCAAGTAAATAGATACCGAACATGTCACACTTCAAAAATTGTACGCGCCCATGCAATGGTGACAAACTACGGTACATTAAATTATCGTGATGTAAAGCTTTAAAAAGCTTTACAAGTTAAATTTAAGTGTTAAATGGGTCTGGCCCTAGAATTTTTTCTCGCTCTTAACATTTGCCATAATCACCATTTACATAATTTACATATGTGTGTAGGACCTATGTATGCTTTCACATTTGTGTTTGAACATGAGGGGATGAGGGCGCTTTAACCACTTGCCCTCCTGAGGATTTACCCCCCTTAATGACCAGGCCTCTTTTTGCTACTCGGCACTGCACTAATTCAACTGATAATTGCGTGGTCATGCAATGCTGCTTCCAAACGAAATTCGTGTCCTTTTTTTCACACAAATAGAGCTTTCTTTCGGTGGTATTTGATCACCTGTGCGCTTTTTATTTTTCACGCTATAAACAAAAAAAGACCAAAAATTTTGAAGAAAAACAATATTTTTTACTTTCAGCTATAAAAAATATATAGTAAACTCAAAGTTAGTTATACATTTAGGCCAAAATGTATTCTGCTACATGTTTTTGGTAAAAAAAAAAAAAAATCCCAATAAGTGTATATTGATTGCTTTGTGTGAAAGTTATAACGTCTACAAACTATGGTATAGATACTGCAGTTTACGCCTTTTTTTGCTGTACAGCGCTGTGCTAGTTTAACGGACAATTGCGTGGTCATGCAATACGGTACATAAATGAAATTTACATCCTTTTTTTCCCACAAATTGAACTTTCTTTCGGTGGTATTTGATCGCCTGTGCGTTTTTATTTTTTACGCTATAAAAAAAAAAAAGGCTGACAATTTTGAGGAAAAAAAACCAATATTTTGGACTTTTTGCTATAAAACATGTCCAGTAAAAAAAAATTAAAAAATCAAATTTAGTCATAAATTTATGCCAAAATGTATTCTGCGACATGTCTTTGCTACAAAAACCCCAATACGTGTAAATTAATTGGTTTACGTGAAAGTTATAGCGTTTACAAATGGAGGGAAAGATACTGGGATTGTTAATTTGTTTTTATTCTAATAATGGCGGCGATCAGCAACTTATGGCGGGACTGCGGCGCACATTCTGACACTGGAGGGGAACTGACTTGGGGTCACTGACATCCCCAGTGACACCAATACAGTGATCAGTGCAAAAAAAAAAAAAAAACACTGACACTGTACTAATGGCACTGGGGAGGAAGGGGTTAACTGTGTGAGGGGAGTGTTTTACTAGGGGGCGGGGGTGTGTACTGCAGGGAACACCGCTGATCGAGACAGATGAACATTTCTGTCCCGATCAGCGTGTCAGGAGCTGTCAGGGAACTGACAGAAAGCACAGCTACTGCAGCTGTGCTCTCTGTCACTGATTGCCGCTAATCGCCGGGGCATAGCCGGTAAAGACCGGCTGTGACCCGGCGACTGACATCCGCGCCCCTTACCTGTTTTAAAAAACACACGTTTTAAAACATGGTTTTGCCCAGCCGTGCCGCCCTGCCACCGTATTTCTACAGTGTCTGGGTGGCATGTGGTTAATTTAAAAAAAATAAATACAGTTTTTACAGTGACTCTTCACATTCCTTTTGGATAAACTTTATTGCTATCAAAAGGGATGAATAACGTCCCTTGTGATAGCATAGGCAGTGACAGGTATTCTTTAATAGACCTTTACTAGATCCCAGATCTCTCTTCTGCCCCCAAAAGCATCTGATCAAACCAAGATTATTTTGACCAGATGCTTTACAAGCTGGCAACAGCTTGTAAACAACAAACCAAACTGGAGGTGGTGATATCCTCATCGCTTCCACTTTCTTAAGTCACAAAGGGAGTGGGTATGGATGTGCTTTCCTTCCCTCTGTTTACTGGAACTAACAGCTGTTCAAAGAGCCTGAGAATAGCAGCGGGATGACTGACCCTATCTGCGCCCTGTAGAAATGGTCGTGCAGTTGAAAATTTTGATACTAGAATCATGACTGCAGCTGCAGCCATGATCCTGAGAGAACCTCTTTAACCTGAGGATGCACAGACACATCCTAGAGAAGTGAAGTGGTTAAAATCTTCAGTCCCTTGCCCCTGGATACCCCTACAACCGTGATCTTCTGGAGCTGCAGAGATAAATGTGAACAGTTGCAGCTGTGACAGGACCTCATCAAAAGTGGTGAAATTGGCTGTCCTTTCCACTTCCATACTCAATTCATAGAAATCATATTATCTTTACTATTCCCACATAAAAAAAATGCTCTGAATAGAGGGGGCATTCATCCATGCAATTCAGAGAGCGTTTTCCATTATGGAGACCAATCAGCTCTTTCGGGGTATCTAGGAGGCAGACAACATAAAATTTCAAGAAACACAACCACCACCAGCAAACAGGACACTCTTCATGTATGTACTGTCCTTGGTGCTGATTTAAAAGAAATCACTCAGCTTCAACTTTAAAGCTAAAACATGGTTTATTTTCATGTAAGATTACAGTTTGTGTCCATTTTCGTGTATATATTTTAATCTGTATTTAAAGGCCTGCTGGGTCATACACAGCACTTTTATTTTTAGATTGATATTTCCACATGTAATTTCAGATATTCTAAGCAAATATTACTTAGTAGGTATGTTGTGTTACAGGTTACTTCATTCTCAGTATGGAGAGTTGATTCAGCCAAGGAATGGCTCTGTGGAAGAAACTCCAAAAATGTCTGCTGGTCAGATGCTGTTGGTTGCATTTGATGGGATGTTTGCTCAGGTTGAAACTGCATTTGGCTTACTACTGGAGAAGGTATGGACGTTTACTGATATCTAGCTGAATTGACCATGTACTTGTAAGCATACTCCATGTTTATCTTGTGCTCACGACTGCAGTTAAAACAGATGGAAATTCCACATGCTTGGAGAAAGGTTGATATCATCCGTGAAGCACGAAGTACACAGGTGAACTTTTTTGAAGATGACGAACTTCGCCGTGTTTTGGATGAGATATTTTTCTTGAAAAGATTACAAACGATCAGAGAATTCTTCCGCCTTTGTGGCACATTTTCTCAAACCTTGTCAGGTAAGATTGACACCAAGCTGTGCAGTGGAATAACGTCCTTACAGGATGTCTTCAACTTACAAGCTGACTTCAATGCACTGTTTAATTGGGCAACTATATGGAAAATTAGGTTTAATGTAGATAAATGTAAGGTTATGTACTTGGGGGCCAAGAATATGCATGCATCATACATACTAGGGGGCATACAGCTGGGGGAATCAATGGTGGAGAAGGATCTGGGAGTTCTGGTAGATCACACGCTTAATAATGGCATGCAATGCCAAGCGAGCAAAATCCTCACTTGTATTAAGAGGTATAGACTCCAGAGAGAGAGATATCATTTTATCCCTGTACAAATCATTAGTAAGACCTCATCTGGAATATGCAGTTCAGTTTTGGGCACCAATTCACAAAAAGAACATTGGGGAACTTGAGAACGTACAGAGAAGGGCAACCAAACTGATAAGAGGCATGGAGGAGCTCAGCTATGAGGAAAGATTAGAGGAACTGAATTTATTCTCTCTTGAGAAAAGGAGATTAAGGGGGTTATGATCAACATATATAAATACATCAGTGGTTCATATAGTGAACTTGGTGTAGAACTATACACCCTGAGGTCATCACAGAGGACAAGGAGGCACTCTTTACATCTCGAGGAAAAGAAATGTAATCTCCAAACATGGAAAGGTTTCTTCACAGTGAGAGCTGTAAGAATGTGGGATAGATTCCCTCAAGAGTTGGTTCTGGCCAGCTCAGTGGATTGCTTCAAAAAAGGCCTGGATTATTTTTTAGATACAGAAAATATAACTGGATACTAACATTTATAGGTAAAGTTGCTCCAGGGAATATCCAGTCGCCTCTTGGGGGATCAGGGAGGAATTTTTTTTTTCCCTGCTGGAGCAAATTGGATCATACTTTGCTGGGTTTTTTTGCCTTCCTCTGGATCAACTGTGGGTATAGGACTTCTTTTTTTTTTTTTTTTTTTTTTTTTTTTTTTTTTATGGTTGAACTGGATGGACTTTTGTCTTTTTTTTTCAGCCAGACTAACTATGTAAGAAAATGTACTTTTCAGATTTTACAGTGTTACAAGGAAAAATAAAAACATCCCTGAGTAGCAAAACTCCCTACCAATGCACCACATAGCATAAAAACACACTTGGCTGTACAAGGGCCTTAGCCCAAAACTAGAACTGTGGAGCAAGCTTCAACTATAAAACGGTAAACCGTCTGCTGTGGGGAACTCCTGACAACAAGTATAACCATTTCCCAGGCACACGTGGGTCAAAAAGAAACAAAGTTTAGCAAAACCAAAGAAAAACAAAAGCTACTAGGGCAGCAGTAAGAGCTCCTATCTGGAAGATAATGGCAGTATATATGGTAACTGACTGACCATTTGATACTGTATATATGGTAACTGACTGACCATTTGATACTACTCACATTTTTATTGTGAATGTTGAGGAGGATCAGGAAGGTTGCATAGGCCAAGTAGCTTTGTCAGGGAATACAGGAGGCTTGGACCTTTCAGCCCTTTACAGGATGCCCAGCACTTGGAAATTTTCAGCATAGACGATTTTCCATGTCTACGTTTTTTTTCTATGGAGGGCTTTTACCTGCCTCTGCAGCGCGTGCAGCTCTCTGTTTCTATTGGGCCTTCTTTACAGAGAGATTGGGAGAGGTAATTCAGCATTTGTTGGTGTTTAAACAGGTTGGCAATTGTTGCAGTAAATACAGAATTTTCTAAGCCTCTTTGCCTTAAAATTAGCATTTACCCAGCATAATCATCCAGCAACACATTCTAAATAAGCAAGTCTATTTAGTAGTACACAAAATCTTTCAAATGAGGACAAGGCAAAGTAAGGTGTTCCTGCAGAAAAACTGATCACATTAGATAATTTTTCTCCATTTTTTAAGTTTTGCTCAGAGTAGTGTTGGAAGAACAACAGTAGTTTTTACTAATTGGCTTTTGTTGAGTTATATGATTTCATGCTTGGTTTGCTGCAAAGTGTTATCTTTTTGGTCTTTTTTTTCAGCAGGCCTACTTTACATATCTACAAGTAATAGTTACCTCCACATTTCTGGTAGTTCAGATGAGATCTAACTTTCATTTAACACTTGCTAAAAGGCCTTTCTTTGTAACTAGACATTTCAAAATGTGGTGGTTAAGAGAACGGTCTGTGCATTGTATAGCTTTTCAGTTATAGCAGAATACATGGACAACAATTATGTATTCAGTCATCTGGAGGTATTGGTTACAACTACTACTTCAAACTCCGTATGTTGTCAATTTTTAACAGGGTATATGTAAACTCAGAGGTTACCTTACATGAAAACTTTGGGGAAAAAATCAGTAGATGTAGACAGCTAAATTTATATTCAAATATTGGCTTTTACTGTGTAGGTTAAACTGGGCTCACTTTATATCCACATCCTGAGTCATCCTTTTTCATTTGAGGCTATTCATTCCACTAAAAACAAAGTGCTATGGGAGTGGGGACTGGCCCAGAAAACTTACTGGAAAAGCTGAGATTTGCATAAAAAATTGGGTGCATATATGCATGGGTCTGTGGGGGTTTTGACATGCGTGTTTCCCCGAGGGTAATCTCTAATTAATAGTTTTTTATTCAAACCATTTTAATTGCACAGGTTTTTGATGGGTTTACTTTTACCTGTGACATATGTAATTTGCCAAATGTATGCTTTTGCTTTCTCTACATAGGGAAATGCCCTATTGATGAACAAACTCCTGTTAATGGACCTGTGCAGCTGGTCAATGTAAAAACAATGTACAGAAACTCTTGTTTTAGTGAAGACCAAATGGCCAAACCAATCAAATCTTTTACAGCTGACTTTGTGAGGCAACTCTTGATTGGCTTACCTACACAGGCTTTGGGACTGACTTTGTGCAGCTTCATCAGTGCTTTGGGTGTGGATGTTATTGCTCAAGTGGAAGCCAAAGACTTTGGGGCAGAAAGTAAAGTTTCCATTGATGATCTCTGTAAAAAGGCTGTGGAGCACAACATTCAGATCTCCAGATTCTCCCAGCTAGTAATGAACAGGGCTACTGTCCTAGCCAGTTCTTATGACACTGCCTGGAAGAAACAAGACTTGGTGCGTCGTCTAGAAACAAATATTGCTTCCTGTAAAACCAGTATGCAGCGTGTGCAGCTTCACATTGCAATGTTTCAGGTAAATTTTCTACAGCTAAATACTAATAAGCATGCTTGTTTGTTTTTTTAACATGAAATGTTTATACTTAATATCAACATGTGGGCAGGGTTGGAGCAGATCAGTTAGAGAAGTTGTGATAGAATGACTATAGAGTGTTAAGTAAAATGGACCTCCATCCTAAAGAGGAGGTTCCACTTTAAGGCCTCCTTCCCCCCCCCCCCTCCTTTCACATTTGGCAATCTTTTTAGGAGGGGGGGAGCAGCAGGTACCTGTCAAAATCTGATACCGGCTTCTCACTGCAAAACAATCAAATCGAAAATGCTTGCCAGCAAGGCTGATTCAGCAGCACCCCTGCTACTAATACTGGTACCTCAGACCACCAGCTCTTCAGGCTCACTCAGCCTCGGTTGCAGCTCCTCACTGCATAGGCTTTCTCTTGGCCTCTAAATAGGGTTCTCCAGCCCTCTGAAGCTTGTTCACTCGAGACTTCCGGCTACCCTACAGCCCCCTGGACTCGTTAGCCGCCTTAGCTTTCACTGTCTCCCAGACTCTTGTAGTTGTCCCAACTTTCCCAGTCCTTGGGCAAGGAATCACCCTCACAAGGGATGCAGTCTCCAACAGGAGCACCCAGTAGCCTTTCTGACAGGGCTCTGTCTGCAAGTGGCATCAATTGCCATCAGCTATTCTGATTTGGTTTATAACGACTCTGCACAACCGTGTAAACGCACAGGCTGCAGGTGTCTAGCAAAACCCAGATACAGGATTAAAGGTTCTGTCCCGCCCAAGACACTTTGAAACCTTATAGATCCAGGCCCTGATCTGGAACTACTACACCTTGAAAAATAATTACAACACAGTTTTCTCCACTAGCAATAGACAATCTGGATCTTTGCATTAAGCCTGAATGTGAATCCTTTCTACCTTAATTTCCTAAACTCACATAATGGCAGGGCCTATTTCACCCAGACCTTGAAGACACCTTTCACTGGTATGCCCGTAGTGATGGGTTACGTTTGGTCCCCTCCAGGAACCTTCAGTATAATTAAAGGTTAAAGTAGAACTAAAGGCAAAGCATTTTTTTTTTTTTTTTTTCCCATGGAGGATTATAACCCCTGCCAGGTTGTTTTTGCCAACTGTGTCCCATTGGGGCGATTTCCCTGTATTTCCTGCCTAATTAACCAAAACCGGAAGAGGGAGTCCTTGGTTGTCACCAGATCTGGTGTCCCCATTGGAAGATTTCTGATCTTACTGCTCGGGAGGACAACTCAAAATGTGGGAATTTTTTTTTTTTTTTTTTTTAAACTAGAGACCACAAATCTCTATAATGGGGGTACAAACAGAAACAAAAACCTGACAGGTATTCTAACCTCTCCACTGTATTCAAAAAAGAAATCTTTTGCCTTTAGTTACATTTTAATTAAATTACAGGTTTACTTGTAATTGTGATGGTTTCCCATTTTACATTTGGGGTATTGGTGTTTCATCCCTTCCACCCACCATTTTTGTGGAGAATGCAAGAAGCATGTTTATTCTTCTCTACCCGCTCCTCCAGGGACACAAGACGCAGGACAACAGTCAGCATCTGGGTTATTGTGGCTCCCTTCCCAGAGACTTGCATACCCTATCATTCTTCATTTCCTGAATACCCAACAGGAGATCCCCCTTCACTTGGCAATGGCGGAGGCAAGGTGCAGAGAAGCTGATAAAAAGCAGGCCTAAAAGCACTTGGGCCATAATAGACAGCAATGAGGAAAACCAGCAAAGTGCTGAGGGTGATATCTGTTCTTCTGCAATGGGACAAGATCCTATATGGTCACCAGAGAGAGAGGAGAATCAGCAGAGCAGAGGGTTACTACTGAGTGGGGGATCAGCAGAGCTGGAGGTTACTACTGAGTGGGGATCAGCAAAGCTGGGGGTATTACTGAGTGGGGCATCACCATAGCTGGGGGTACTTCTGAGCAGGGGATACTTCTGCTGAGTGGGGGTACTAATAAGCTAGGGATCTGCTGAACAATGGTACCAGTGAGCTGGGGATCTACTGAACAGGAGTACTAATGAGCTAGGGATCTGCTGATTGGGATACTACTTAGCCAGGGTTCTACTTGGCCCACTTTAAAATAAATATAAAATCAACACACACACCGGGCATTTGTTAAGCTTCAGAAAACCATCACAGAAGCATCAAAAAAAAAAAAAAAAAGAGGGGAAATCTTCCAATGGGGGGGCACTTGTTCCATTGACAACTGTCTAAGAAAGTATTTTCCTCACATTAGAAAGTTCCTTTAACTTTCTCTGGAGTCTACAGAACATAAAGTGAAAAAATAACTCCCCAACTGGAATAGCTTTTGCTCCCCTACTTTGAAATGCAGAAAAACAAAAAAAGCAGGTTGGTTTTAGATATATTTTAGTAGTTGTCCCAATCTTTAATATTTTTTTAAAAGAACTTTATTTCCATCATCAATGCCTGTGTTTTCAACATTTAAACTTTTTTTTTTTATACCAGTATGTTCTATAAAGTTTGTTGTGATACCATTTAACATAGGGATACGACTGTCCTTTGAACCCATCAGAAAAAATTATTACCCATAAGGTGGTGTTTTGTAGTTGTCATCTGTACAAGGTGAGTGTCTACACTAGTGGCCTTGTCCGGTAAAGAATCCTTTCTAGTTCTGCACAGGAACAAGGTGGTTTTGAGGCCCAGAAGGTTCTTTTGGCGTTTCACCTCAACCAACACATCGTTGGTTCTTCTGTTTAGGCTCCAGTTCATCAGAAAGAGATGTTTGCCTGGATATATTTTGGACTGAGAGTGTCTATCTCTCAGCCACTGCTTCCTTCAAAAAAGATTGATTTGTCAATCCTGATGCACCCCGAAAGGGTCAACCAACTTCTCCTTCCATCATCTCTTGGTGGTTCAGAGGAATCTTTCATTATTATGGTCTAAAAAAAAAAAAAAAAGGTAAATTTTGACTATATTGCAAAGACAAACACAGATGACAAAAACACTAATGAATAAGTACATGCAAAAGAATGGTGTTAAGGACCTGTCTAGCTGGATTCTAAGTTCAACAACAAACTGGGCAGGTTTGTCTCCAGGTAGAGGCATCCTCTTGCAGAAACAGTGGATGTTCTGACAGCCCCATGGGATCCGTTTATCTTGAACTATGCTTTTCCTCCCCTGAGTGTTTATTCACACATGTACGGTGCAAATTGAAGCTCCGTTTTCCCAGCTAATTGACAAAGTAGTTGTTCAGTGGTTCAGGTCAGGTTTAGATCAGGTCACATTTTACATTAGGATCAGGAGAGAAAACCGTCCTGAAATAGTTTTCACAAACTCATGACATGCAATTCAGAAGCAGTTCCCATAGAAGTTAATGAGCCTGTAATTTGCACCTGGACCGGACTGCACTGCTCAGAAATCGGACAGGACTCTTTATCTACACTGCAAGTGCACCGGATGTACACTATATTGCCAAAAGTATTGGGACACCCGTCCAAATCATTTTATTCAAGTGTTCCAATCACCTCCGTGGCCACAGGTGTATAAAATCAAGCACCTAGGCATGCAGACTGCTTCTACACACATTTGTGAAAGAATGGGTCACTCTCAGAAGCTCAGTGAATTCAAGCATGGTACCTTGATAGGTTACCACCTGTGCAATAAGTCCATACTTGAAATTTCGTTGCTACTAAATATTCCATGGTCAACTGTTAGTGGTATTACAACAAAGTGGAAGCAACTGAGAACAGCAACTCAGCCACGCAATGGTAGGCCATGTAAAATGACAGAGCAGGGTCAGCGTATGCTGAAGCACAGAAGTCGCCAACTGTCTAAAGAGTCAATAGCTAAAGACCTCCAAACTTTGTGTGGCCTTCAGATTAGCACGACAGTGCGTAGAGAGCTTCATGGAATGGGTTTCCATGGCTAAGCAGCTGCATCTAAGGCTTACATCACAAAGTGCAATGCAAAACATCAGATGCAGTGGTTTAAAGTGCGCTGCCACTGGATTCTAGAGCAGTGGAGCCATGTTCCCTGGAGTGACGAATCTCGCTTCTATGTCTGGAAATCCGATGGACATGTCTGGGTTTGGCGGTTGCCAGGAGAATGGTACTTGCCTGACTGCATTGTGCCAAGTGTAAAGTTTGGTGGAGGGGAGATTGTGGTGTGGGGTTGTTTTTCAGGGGTTGGGCTTTGCCTTTTAGTTCCAGTGAAAGGAAGTCTTAAAGCGTCAGTATACCAAGATGTTTTGCACAATTTCACGGTCCCAAGTTTGTGGGAACAGGAAGGGGCCATCCCCAAACTGTTAAATCATCAATTTTTTTTTTTGTTTTAAATGTAGCACTGCCCCTTGGGACAAGCTGGAATATATTATGGGTCCTGCGCTCAATAGATCCAACCCTAAGCAAACCCAATCCCTCTGGCACAACTGGTAATGAATAGCAAATACCCCGCCAAGAAATTTGCTGATACAGGGTTAAATGAAACAAGAACAATTTTATGGAGAATGAAATGCAGTGTAGAGGGGTGGGGTTCCCCTTTCAACTTCAAAACTTACTTTTCTTCTTTTATACAATGCAGTAAATTTGGTCTGCCACTAGAGGGCTTCACAGCCAAAAATCTCCTGATGGCAGAGTCGCACTTTAAGCAAAATACAACTGATATCAAACAAATAAACTTACTTATGCTCTATCAATGAAATGTATTACCCACACCGCTGTATGATTCTGCTTCTGAGGGGCGTTAGCCAAAAATCACATCAGAGTCAAACAGAATGCAATAAAGAGGTACCTCTAATAAAGCTACTAAGCCAGATTCCCCCACTCTAGTCCTTGTAACGGTGGAGCTCTAGTTGGTGCACGTTTAGTCCTTACAATGAAGTAAATGGCAGCTGAAGGCTTCTTTGGAGTTTCAGCTGGTGTGGGTTACATCAGATTTCACTAGGTTTCTGGGCTGAGAGGGTCCAACCTCAGTGTCTAAAAGCAACCCAAGACCAGGGGCAGTCGCAGGATGCAATCTCCCAGTATGTGTCAGTCCCCGGGGCAGACATTCTCAATTACACTGGTGGTGAGGGGCAAAGCAGGCAGGGGGATCTGTGGCTTGCACAGGGCCCCGGATGGGTGAGATCCCAGCAGTGGGGTGCGGATGTCCCAGTCTATTTGCAAAGTGTAAATGGTGTGTCTTATTCTCTCCAGTGGGACAGCTCACCAGACTCTGAACACACAGCAGGGTCCCTCTAGCCACGCTGGGTGCTGTAGTGCCTCCTCCTCTCCTTGGACGGGCTCCACATGTCCCTGTCTTTTCTCCAGCCTTGTGTCTCCCTGTTCTCCCCTTCACTTCCTGCTTCCTCCCCTTCCCAGCGTTCTTTGCTGTGTAGTGGATGAGTCATGAACTTGGCAGAATGCCCAGGTTTTACAAATAGGGGAGAGAGAGGAGGGACTGACTGCTGAATGTTTGATTCCTTCTGAATCCTCTTGTACAAGGAGCCTGCTACATAAAATAACAAAAATATACTGCTTTGTGCAGAGCAGCCCTGATCCTCTTCTTCTTGGGCCTCTCGCCGTCGCTCCTGGTTCCTCCTGTTCGGTGAGTGCCAAACCAAAGAAAGCTGTTTCCTATGGGGGCACCTGTGTGGGCTTCCTTCTGAGCTTCTCTGTCTGTGTCAACTAAAACAGACAGGGCAGCTCGGTCACATCCCCACTCCGCCATCACAGACTATCATTTTTCCCAGTGAGAAGGGAGAAAGTGGAGAGAGCCATTGCTCTCATGCACATCACTGGATTCAGATCAGGGGGGGGGGGGGGGGGGGGGGGGGGGGGGGGGGGGGGGGGGGGGGGGGGGGGGGGGTGGATCGTCTAGCACAGAAGGTTTTTTATATTTTAATGCCTAGAATGCATTAAGGTGAAAAAAATAAGAATTTCAGCCTGTACAAAAACTTTAAAATAGGCAGGGAGAAGGCAACATATCACCTCCTGACTGCATGTCCAACTCCTTTCAGGTGTGGAAATATTAGCCACATGTCTACACGTTGTCTAATCAGTCTCCGGAGTATGTTTTTATATTCAGTTCAACGCACTGAGCATTACAGTTTTATAGGAGTATTGTTTTACTACACAGAACATACCTTTGCCTAGGAATTTTCCAGATGTACTACAAAATCTATTCAAGTGGCAACATATCAGATTGGTTTAAAGTATATCCATGGTGAGAGACTATCAAAGCCGACATTGTGCTGAGCTCCTGAAAATTCTGGTCTGGTTGTTGTGCTGACCCAGTAGCTTCAATCTTTGAGTCTGTGATCCAGAACAAGTATGCAAATCAAGAAAGTTTGAGAAAAGACAGAAGGTCTTGTATGCATTATGGCTTCAGGTCAACTCAAAGTCAAAGTGTCTGCTTACAGACAACTAACAATTTCAGAAGTCTGCAATAGCAGTCTCCATATTTTTCTCTTTTAAGCATTTGATCATATAATTAGACTTGTCTATATCTATGCAGCTACAATTCTGAGCTGTGCCCCTGGATTACATGACTAGTTACAAAAGCTGGTGATTTTGTAGCTAGCTCTAAATAACTCTATTCCCAATGACATAGCTACAAATCACTGTAATCTGATTCTGACCTTTCATTGATTGAAATTTATTTTACATTCCAGTGGCAGCATGAGGACTTCCTGATTAGTCGCCCACAAGCAACATCTGTTACTCCTCCCCGCTCCGCCATCTTAACCAGCATGAAGAAGAAGCTTCATACTCTTGGACAGATTGACTCTTCTATTTCCGCAGTCCAGGTGCGCCATCAAAAATGCTGTTTGCTTGGAATGTTTGTGTGCACCGCTTTCTTGCATGGCCAAATAGGCATTATTAGAGGGCTGAAGTTCATGGGCCAGTCAGATTGCCACATTGAATTCATAGGGAACTGTGTTCCGCTTGTAGCAGTTACTGTAACTAAGACAACATGGAATGCACCTTTTTTTCCCAGATTTTCAAATGTAAACAAAGTAACTTTTGCAATACAAAAATAACTTTTCTTATCTTTTAATTTTCTGTTGGCACATGTATTTCCTACAGGAAAAATTAGCTGCTTTAGAAGCCAGCATTGAGCAGCGTTTGAAATGGGCAGGAGGAGCAAATCCTGCCTTGGCACCAGTTCTTCAAGACTTTGAGTCTACTATTACAGAGAGAAGGAATTTTGTACTAAAGGAAAACCAAAGAACCAATCAGGTATATAGTCCTATATAGTTGTACCTTTTGTAGCTAACGTTTTTGAAGACCAATATATAATTTGTCTGTTTTTTTTTTTTTTTGCTTTTTTTTCCTTTTTAGGTCACCTTCCTTTGTAGCACCATCATACACTTTGAAAGTTTACGCACACGGACTACTGAGACTCTAAGCATGGACACTAGCCTGTTTGAGCTCATTAAACGTTGTCAACAGATGTGCTCATTTGCCTCCCAGTTCAATAGTTCAGTATCTGAGTTGGAGCTACAGCTTTTGAAAAGAGTGGTAAGTAGCTTTTGTTGCAAGGCCAGCAAGCTAGAATGAAGACTTGGTCAATATTGAAATGTTGTTCCAGAGTTGAATGTATGTTGGGTTCCCCTGTAACAGAGCTAAATATAGCTCTTGACTTTGGTCAGGTGAGCATTTCCAATTGTATTTAAAAAGCTACAGTAAAATTGGACTTCTGCTCTTAAAAAAAAAAAAAAAATGAAAATGGGAAATGCATAGCTGCAGCTCCCCCTTCACAATACTGCCTAATACGGTCTAATTCAAAGCTCCTCTTGCCTTTCTAGCATATCACTTGATAGCTTCTTAGATAGCAGAAATAGCATGCTGTTTGTAGATAAACTGATATATTCCTCAGGATGACAGTAAGGCCTTCAGCCCACTGCTAAACTCAGATGGTATGCTGTGCTTTCGGAAATGTAGAGGAAAAGTCTGAACCCTGCTTTCGTGGAGACGTTCTTCAAAGAATTGTGAAACCCTGAACCTTGTTCTTAAGGAGACTTTCTCCAAACGATGAATGTTTGTACAGTGTGTCACCTGTAGCTGCCAGAGGTGCTTGGCATTCCTTAGGCATGTCAAAAACACCTCAATCATCACAAGGAGTGCTCAGTATTGGAGACATTGCTTGTTATTGTCTGTGCATTTATGGCCAGTTTAGGTCATTGAGCTTGGCTGCAGTAAGATGCAAGGAGATCAACAGGTGTATGCCAATGATCAGGTATTACTTTCTCATTTAAGGAGGCTTAACCTCCTTTAAAACCACTTGCCTACCGGACACTTATACCCCTTTCGTGCCCAGGCCAATTTTTAAGCTTTCAGTGCTGGTGCACTTTGAATGACAATTGCACGGTCATGCAACATTGTACCCATATTACATTTTTATAATTTTTTTCACACAAATAGAACTTTCTTTTGGCGGTATTTAATTGCCGCTGGGTGTTTATTTTTAGTGCTGTAAACAAAGAGCAAAAAATGTGAAAAAAAAAAAAAAGTTTTTCTTTCTTTTTATTATAAAATTTTGCAAACAGGTAATTTTTTCTCCTTCACTGATGTGCGTTGATGAGGCTGCACTGATTGATGAGGTGGCACGGATAGGCAGCACTGATGCTCCACTGATATGCAACAATGATGGGCACTGGTGGGTGGCACTGCTGGGCACAGGTGGGTGACACTACAGGGCACTGATCATCGGTGCCTTGATGATCGGTGCTGATCCGTCCTCTGACAATTGCCGGTTATCGGCAGTACTTTCTTCACGCTGTTCTCGATCGCCCTATAACAGAAATACTGCTACAGGGCAGCATGGGTGCTCAAAATCGTGTTTATATGTGATTTTGCATTTCCGGGTAGGGGGCACACAGGAGCCCTACCCTCGCTGTCATTCGTGGCTGTCAATCACTGAGTCCTGATCAGTGATTACTTGCCGGCACCCGGTGATTGCCGAGCATCTCCAATGGGGAGGAGAACTGTTTGTAAACCAGTTCTCCCTGTCAGCTCGTGCACAGCCATGCAAAGCAGTGTTCTTACAGTGAAGCACACAGACACAAGTAAAACAGCATACAGTTAACCCTTTTGATCACCCCTCATGTTAACCCTTTCCTGCCCAGTGCAATTAGTACAGTGTCAGTGCTTTTTTAGCACTGATCACTGTATTGGTGTCACTGGGGATGTCAGTGACACCAAGTCAGTTCCCCCCAGTGTCAGAATGCCCGCCGCCATTACTAGTACAAAAAAAAAAAAAAAAAGTCCCAGTGTATATATACCGCCATTTCTAGCTTTCAACTGAACCAATTAATTTACACTTATTGGTATTTATTTTTTTTTTTTTTTTTTTTTTTTTTAGCAAAGACATGTAGCAGAATAAATTTTGGCCTAAATTTATGATGAAATTTGATGTTACATTTTTTTACTGGACATGTTTAACCACATCATGTCCGGACACTTTCACCCCCTTCCTGTCCAGGCCAATTTTCAGCTTTCAGCGCTCTCACATTGTGAATGACAATTACTCAGGCATACGACACTGTATCCAAATGAAATGATCATTTTTTTTTTTTCAAACAAATAGCTTTCATTTGATGGTATTTAATTACTACTGGGGTTTTTATTTTTTGCTAGAAAAATGAAAAAAAGACTGAAAATTTTGAAAAAAAAAACATGTTTTTCTTAGCTTTTGTTACTAAATTTTGCAAATAAATATACTTCATAAATGTAGGCCATAATCTAGGTTAACCCAAATCGGTTGTATTATTTTTTTGTGAAAGTTATAAGTCCCAAATCGGTGTGTATTATGTTTAGTCTTTGTGTAAAGTTATAGAGTATTTAATGAGACAGTCTGAATTATTTGAGAGGCATGACCCCTTTTTGGAAAGTAGACAGTCTGAAGTATTTAATGAGAGGGGAGTTTTTTGAAGTTGTCATTTTTTGCCAATTTTTGAGGGAAATTATGAAAGTAAACAATTTTTTTTTCCACAAAGTTGTCATTTAACAAGTTCTTTCTCTCACACGGCATAGGCATACTTGCAATTACACCCCAAAATACATTCTGCTACTCTTCCTGAGTATGGCGATACCACTTGTGTGAAATTTTTTCACAGCCTAGCCACATAGAAGAGCCCCACATCGAATAAGCACCCTTAGGCGTTCTAGGGGCAAAAATTGCACATCTAATTTCTTGACTGTCTATCACAGTTTTGGAGGTCCTGGAGCACCAGGAAAATTTAATTACCCTCAAAATGACCCCATTTTGGAAAGCAAACACCCCAAGGTATGTTTTAAGAGGCATGGGGAGTCCTCTGAAAACTTCATTTTTTGCCACAGGTTTTTGGACAATGTGAAATGAAAATTTATTTTTTTTACGCAAAGTTGTCAATCTATGAGATATTTTTATTACACAGCATAGGCATACTTAAAATTACACCACAAAACTCATTCTTTAACTCCTGCTGAATATGGCAATATCAAATGTGTGAGACTTTTTCACAGTCTGGCCACATAGGAGGGCTCCACATCCAATAAGCACCTGTTAGCGTTCTAAGAGCAAAAATTACACATCTAATTTCTTGACTACCTATTGCCGTTTTGGAGGTCCTGGAGCATCAGGACAATAGAATGCTTTCCAAAATGGGGTCATTTTGTGGATAAAACACCCCAAGGTATGTGTTAAGAGGCATGTGGAGTCTTCTGAAGACTTAATTTTTTGCCACAAGTTTTTGGAAAATGTAAGAAGAAAACGACAATGTGTTTTTTTCAATGCAAAGTTGTCAATCTATGAGATATTTCTAATACACTGCATAGGCATACTTAAAATTACACCCCAAAACACATTCTCTAACTCTTTATATGAATATGGCGATACCACATGTGTGAGATTTTTTCACAGTCTTGCCAAATAGAGGGGCTCCACATCCAATAAGCACCTTTTGGAGTTATAGGGGCAAAAATTACACATCTAATTTCTTTGGCCACTTGAGCAGTGATCAGGAACCCTGCTGGGCCACTGTGGCAATCGGGGACACTGCGGTGATCAGGGACACTGCTGGACCACTTGTGTGGCAATCAGGGACACTGCTGGACCACTTGTGTGGCGATCAGGGACACTGCTGGACCACTTGTGTGGCGATTAGAAACACTGCTTGGCCACTGTGGCGATCAGGGACACTGCGGCGTTCAGGGGCACTGCTGGGTCACTGTGATCAGGGACACTGCTGGCCACTGTGGTGATCAGGGACACTGCTGGGCCACTGTGGTGATCAGGGACACTGCTGGGCCACTGTGGTGATCAGGGACACTGCTGGGCCACTGTGGTGATCAGGGACACTGCTGGGCCACTGTGGTGATCAGGGACACTGCTGGGCCACTGTGGTGATCAGGGACACTGCTGGGCCACTGTGGTGATCAGGGACACTGCTGGGCCACTGTGGTGATCAGGGCCACTGTGGTGATCAGGGCCACTGTGGTGATCAGGGCCACTGTGGTGATCAGGGCCACTGTGGTGATCAGGGCCACTGTGGTGATCAGGGCCACTGTGGTGATCAGGGCCACTGTGGTGATCAGGGACACTGCTGGGCCACTGTGGTGATCAGGGACACTGCTGGGACACTGTGGTGATCAGGGACACTGCTGGGACACTGTGGTGATCAGGGACACTGTGGTGATCAGGGACACTGCTGGGCCACTGTGTGGCAATCAGGAACACTACTGGGCCACTATGTGGCGATCAGGGCCACTGTGACAATCAGAGACACTGCTGGGCCACTTGTGGGGCGATCAGGTGTCACTGAGGTGGAGGGCAGTTTGCTTTCTTGCTATCTGCTCCTTCTCTCACAGACAGAACTCTGTGAGAGGAGAAGGAGGCGGAAGCTGCACCATGCGGCTTTTGTTTACATAGACTGTGTCCTTATTGGACACAGCTGATCACATGGTATAGAACCGATTTCATTGGTTGTGTACCATGTCACATGATCCGCTGTGTCCATCGGACTCGGCAATCATCGGGCTCGCGGGGTGCGCGCTCTAGGAGCCGCACACGAGCCTCAGATGCAGGACGCCGTTCAAAAACGGCAACCCGCTCCTGGAGGTGTTCTGTCCCGCCGTTCATAAACAGCGGACGGGCAAGTGATTAATAGCAACAAGTTAAAAATAGTGTTTTCTTCTCAAAATTGTTTGTCTTTTTCTTTTTTCCATAGCACAACAAATAAAAAACACAGGTAATCAAATACCACCAAAAAAGCACAATTCATGGGGAAAAAAGACAGGATGTGAATCTCTGGATCAAGACTAGGTTTGCGCTGATGTGCTTGTTCACAGGTTAAGTGCTGGAGATCTCAACCTGGTTCTGTTGGTTCTTCAACCAACTACTAATTAAACTACAATTCATACTTCTCCTGTCTTGCTTTACTCACAAGGTTGCCTTGCTTGTCACCATCACTTTTGTGAGGTGTCTGAGTTGGCAGTCTTGGCCTCCTTTCTTCCTAAGGTGATTTCTTCATTTCATTTCCTTGCATCTTAACCAGGATATTGTTCTGTATCCTACTCAAAAATATCTAAGTAGAGTTCCCTCCATTGTCTGGATGTGGTAAGCACGGTCTCTTGGCACGTTCCTTTAGACTGTCTGACTTTGCTTGTTGTCCTTGTAGGTCTCCATTGGGGAAAGCCTGCTTCTTGTTCCATTGTCACCAGGTTTATTCAAAAGATTAAGGCTATTAATATCCCTTTAAGTTTTTTACCAGATGGCCTTTCAGAGTGATGCTTGCTTCAGTTGCTCTTCAGGTACCTCTGTTAACCTGTTGGTTTTTTGTTGGAGAGTTTGCCTTTGTTTGCTCTGTTGCCTACCCCTCAGATGGACTGCTTTTGGACATCCTAATGTTCCTGAATACTTTATTCCATAGGAAGTTTGCTTATAGTAAACTCCTTTTCTTGGAGTAAGTTGAGGGACACCGGTCCCTTGACTCTGCTCTTGTGACCCACTCCTACTTTTGCTTGCCACAAAACTTTGTGGCAGGGGTTATACTGGGCTGTCCTTTTTAGTTCTGTTTGCCAGTGTCCAGTCCTTGAAGCTAGCAGGCTGTGATTGACAGCAGCGTGAGTCAATGGCTCCCGCTGCTTTTTTTTTAGCCATTGAGAAGGGAGAGACCCGGGAGAGCCGAGTCTCTTGTGCACATCGCTGGACCGAGATCGGGCTCAGGTGAGGTTTTGAGGGGGCTGCTGCACACTGAGGGTTTTTTACCTTCATGCATACAGTGCATGAAGGAAAAATCACTTAAGCCTTTAGAACAACTTTAAAGGGTTATTTCACCATTACGAAATGCCTATACAGATAAGGGGTGACTGTAGATGAAAACAAGCTGTGTGGCTTTGATCAATTTTGAATAATACTTTTGTAGGCCATTCACATATCTCATGAAGCCTGACCTGAAAATTCCCACAACGTTGATAAGTGAGGCCTAGCTATTACTGTTCCCCCTCACCACCACAGGAGTTAACTCTTTCTGTGATTCAAACTTCCTCACATGCACTTTCTCTCCCTCGATGCAATGTCTGAGTTTAGAGTTTGAGAGCTCACTCGCGTGATGGTGGAGATGCGCAGTAACAGCTGGGCCTCACATAGTAATATCCTAGCAATGTCCTGGGAGTTTTCAGGTCAGGCCTCATGAAGTATGTAAATGGAATATACATATAGCAAGGGTCTTATCCTTCTTTAGGCAAAGCTGCACAGTTTGTTTTGATCAACAGACATAGGCAGTATTTTTTTTTTTTTTTGTTTTTTTTTTGTAAAGGTGATATAACCCTTTAATCCTAGCATCCTCAACTTCTGTATCAGGCTATTATAAAGGAATAGTATTAAAAGACTTAATAAAACTTAAATATATGATGTCAATAGCATTTTCAATTGTGTGAGCTTTATTTATGGGTATATCACCTAAGGTTGTTTTTGTTTTAGGTGTTTGAAGCCACAGAACCCCAGACCAGTAGCACTTCCTGCTTGCAGAATAACTATGTATTGACTAGTTGTTCTATACACTTACACAGATCCACTGGATATATTTTATTTTCATCCTGCAGCTAGATGTTGTATTTTGTTTTTTGTCATGCAACTCTCCAGAGACATTTTAAAGTCACATGTCCATTCCTAGCAGGGACCATCGAATGAGAGTGCCATTGGAAGTCCTGAATGGCTGGTTTCTGCCCACAAGCAGTTGAGTCATGATATGTCAAATCAGAGGAATCTACAGAGTGAGAAGGAGCAGCAGATTGAGGCGGTGTGTGAAACCATTCAGAATTTGGTGGACTGCATCAAGACTGTGCTGACTAGTCATAACAGGCAGCTGGGAGATGTCAAACACTTGCTGAAAGCAATGGCAAAGGTGGGCTTCTGCATTAATTTGTTTATCCTGAGCTTTATGTACATCTGTTTAAATATTAAACTTGGCTTTATTTTATGGGGATGTAGACCTCCATTTAAAGGTGAAATCCTGGCTAGGCCAGCCCACCCCCGTCTCCACATGCATTTTATGTTTTTCCTACTTGCATTTTTCAGATGTTTTCAGGCTAGTAATGTGACATGCTTTGGTCCATTTGAAACTTCTACCAGTGGTGGTTGGTTTTCAATGGTGCACAGCTTTTGCATCATTACAGTGAGAGTGCATGGTGCTGTTGAGACATTGTGTACCTACAGTATGTCCTCAGTCTTGAAGATTGAATGACTCCAGGAATTATTCAACCCGAAAGACTGAAGACACCTTGTGGCTGAATGAGATCATTGCAGGTGACCCCCCCCTGGAGAAGAGGTTAGTGTTGCAGCCTAAACTTTTTTTTATTTAAGCCAGCTGTAGACCATTTAAGTGCAAATTACTCAGAAAGTGAACTTTAAAGATGCCGTAATTCTGCAAAGCAGAATTTCATACAGAATATAGTCAGGTTGTGTTTTGTGTGTGTATGGGGGGGGGGGTTACAGAATTTGACTGTACAGTTTTTTGTGATCTAAAACTATGGTGGTCGTGACTTTATAATGTTTTTTTAAGCCAATTATAGTTGACTGTGTAAGTCTTAGATAGGGCTCCTAACATTAGTATGTTTTAAATATCTGTATCATTTCAGTATCAACTGAACTTAGAACCATTTTATTTAGGATGAAGAGGCAGCCTTGGCAGACGGTGAAGATGTGCCCTACGAGAACAGTGTTAGGCAGTTTTTGGGCGAGTACAAGGCCTGGCAAGATAACATTCAAACGGTTCTGTTTACTCTGGTTCAGGCTTTGGGCCAAGTGCGCAGCCAAGAACATATAGATATGCTGCAGGAAATAACACCGACTCTGAAAGAGCTGAAAACCCAGAGCCAGAGGTAAGAATAAATCCTACCAAATTTTACCAATGCATGAAAATGTATGGGTTGATTAAACCATGGAGTTCATCTTGGTTTCTTTCATTGGTATTCTAAAACTACCTCTGACCTTGGTTCCATATGCAGAGCTTACACTGTTTCCATCATTTATTTCCTTTCTCTTTAGTATCTATAACAATCTGGTGGGTTTTGCATCACCTTTGGTAACAGATTCAACAAACGAGTGTGCTAGTCCGACTACATCCTCAACGTACCTTCCCAGTTTTGCTGCAGGTAATAATTATGTAAATCACCAAGCACTGTTTACATTTTTACTGAAAAAACACTACTACATTATGTGTTTAGAGTGTGTTTAGAGTCTCATGGGCTTATTCAATAAACAGTGAAATGAGCATGGAATCCACGTCATACTAAAGTATGATCGTTGAAAGAGAGATTCTGAGTGGTGGTGATAGGTACTGTGCTGTTCTTTGCATTTACACTTTTTTTTTTGTTACAAAAAGGGGAACTAAAACCATCATTTTAACAGCTTCCCAAAGCAGTTACATTCAAGGCAGCTGTCACAACTGCTTGTGTACTCTTGACTGAACTGTCGAGTCATCAAATGGCTGGTGACATAATTGATCACATGTAAAGCAGCATGGCAACTGCAGTTCAAACAGAGGCCAAGATGGCAGCTTCCTTGCCTGTAGGAGACAGTTCAGTACTGCGTTAATGAAGCCCATTAGTCTTACTTTTGAATAGCTCTTATCTCCCTGTGGCCCAGCATATTATTTTCACTTCGTATATTTGTCTAATGGTTCATCCTCAGGATTATTCATTTAAACCTTGTGTAGTAACTGTATATATTTATATTTGTTGCTTTGTTTCACTCCATAAGTGAAAGTGAGTCTCACAAAGGACAGGACTATAGTATACTTGTAGCATGGAGAGTTCTGATGTGCCTGCCTGCTGATAAACTATATGATAAATTTTCTGTTTATTAGTATTAAATCTTGTTTCAGTTGACATGGAGTGTTTGTTTTTAATATGATTTTTTTTCAAAACAGCGGTGCGTAGTAACACTGTCCCAAAGACCCAGCCAGAGGGCATGTCACAGAACGCAAAAAAGTCAGTCCAGAAAAATGTGGTGCCATCAGCAGATACACCACCGAGCACTGTTCCCGGGCCTGGCAAGAGTGTTGTTTCTAGTCCAAAAAAGGCAGTGCGGGATCCGAAGACTGGCAAAGGTAATGATATGTACCTATACAAATAAAAGGCTATATTGTTTTGCTCAAACTTGTATTGTGAGCAGGTTTTGCATCTTGCAATCCATCTTGAGCAAAGGTTTTCTGTTGTATTTCTTATCTTATCATGTTGATCAGGTATTATTTTGATGCCTTTAAAATATATAGCTATAAATGGGTCCATTGGGTCTGCTGCTTTAAGATATTTGCAGATACTGGTTAACTGCACACACAAAAAAAATCTTTATATTTGTGGAGCAGTGAGTGTGACATTCACTGCAGGTTAGTCACTGTATTTATATTATATTTAAAAAAAAAAAAAAACATGCACCAGGAAGATTCATGTGCAGTAAATATTTGGTTAATGTCAAATTCGCCGCTTTCTAAGTATGCTTCTTAGGCCTTTCACTTGCTTCAAAATGTGGCATTTGACTCCCTTTTTTTAAAGCACTCTGAATGCCAATCAAAGCACCTCTCACTAAATAAAACCTTTACCTTACAGTCCTGTTTGCACTGTTGCGTTTTGCTTTGCTTCACTTCAAAAATTATATCCCATGTTGCTTTCTTGGTGCTTCAAAACATCTCCAAAGCCTCCATAGAGGTCTATCACAATGCTCACTAATGGCACCTACAGCATTTGAGGGGCATTTATTCAGAGTTTGCTTCGCTTTGTTTTGGAGCTATGAGATATCCCAGTATGCACTGGGAAATAAGAAAACCAGAAAGACCTCATCAGACATCATTTCCGGTTCATGTGTATATATTTTGGGAGTGTCTGGTTCAGATGTCACATCTGTTGTAGATCGGGGTCTGGAGCAGAGTAAATAGCTAGCGGCACACATGGTGCACAAGATGGGAACGCTATTGTGGAAGGTGAATGAAGTCCTTAGAGGACTGAGCAGCAGAGGATCAGCAGAGTTGGGGGACCAAAGCAGGGAAAACTAGCAGATGTCACACGTGGTGAGCAGCATGGGAGCAATATAGCGGGAGGTGCACGGGGACTAGAGAGAGAGGAGGATCAGCAAAGCTGGGGGTTACTACACAGTCAGGGATCAGCAGAGCTGGTTACTAAGGAGTGCGGGATCAGCAGAACTAAGGGTACTACTGAGTGGGGGGCATCAGTAGAGCTTGGGGATATTACTGAGCCAGGGATCTGCTGAACACCGGTACCAGTGATCTGCTGAAGGGGGGTGCTACTGAGCCCCTTTAAAACAAATAGACACACACAGGACATTTGCCAAGCTTCAAAAAAGCATCACGGGAGCATCAAAAATGCAAATTGCTGGGGTAGGTGAATTAGAAGAACGGATACCACTCGGAACCGGCCTAGGGGTGTAGGATATATGGTATGGCCTCAGCTGCCACTCTAGCCAAGCCCTCTGACATGTTTCACCCCATCCATTATGGCTTGGTTATAGAGCTCTTTGACCATGCCCTGATGGGTGGGGGGAAACGCATCAGAGGGCATACCATATATCCTCCACATCCAACTTCCAGGGCCGGTTCTGAGAGGCGTCCGTTCTTCTAGTTCACTTAAGTCACTGAAACAGCTTGGGACCATGCTCCCTTCTCTTCCTCTACCGGCCGGGTGATTCCTCCCCACATCCAGCTTTAGAGCGGCGCCATTAAGTCTTTCTTGCTGGGGCAGCTGCTTTTAATGTGTGTCAAAATGAAAGCAAGTGTAAATGAGCTCTTACTGTGTTTTCTGGTAGTCTACTTTGAATGTCAAAACTAAAATAAGTTGATTATGTGAGGAACATTTTTTTTTTTCTTTTTCCCACAAATCACCTTTTATGATAGTGCCTGATAAGCTGTTAAAACATGCAGCTTAACATGTACAAACTTTATCCCTTTATGTTGATCAAAATAAAATTTGCTTTTGTTAGCCCTTTTGAAATGTGTTGCAAACCACATGTATAATTCAGTTAAATCTGTTTTCTGTTATCAATAATTTAGTCATTCCAAAGAAAGCACCTTTCAGTTTTGTTGTAATAGGGTTATGTAGTAGACACCATTTCTTTACACTGTTCTATGTTGAATAAAACTTGACTTTCCAAATTTTTATATTTGTGGATTGAGTGGTGAAAGGTTAAAACTTGTCAGGTTTTTATTTGGTCTTTTTTTTTTTTTTTTTTTTTCTCCCCTATGGGAGTGGTCACAAGGACAGAAAGCAAGAGGGAATCTTCCCCAACAGGAATACTAACTGGGGGAAGTCTTAGGATCACTTTCAGATATTTGTCTGCATTCCCACTCAGATGCCAGGAATAAAAGTGAGGGGAATCATCTCAATAGAGAAGCAGACAATATAAAAAGATTTTAATCCTTCATACAGTATGCAGCAAAGACGGTGAGGCTTTTCAGCTCAGGGTACTAAAAACATACCAGTTATAGATGATGTGATGATCAGAGGGGAACTGTAAAATTTACCTATACGATTTGCTGTTGAAACACCGGTTGAATACTGGTTGCACGTATTTTGACTTGATTGCACATTTTTCATGTTGCAGCTGTACAAGAGCGCAATTCTTATGCTGTCAGTGTTTGGAAACGAGTGAAAGCCAAGCTAGAGGGGAGAGACGTGGATCCCAACAGAAGGATGTCTGTTGCTGAACAGGTAGGTAGATGGGGAGAGATGCACAAATTTATAATTCAAAGCCATTCATGATAAAATTATTTTTCCTTCATTTGAATTTTCAGGCTGAAATATGTTGTTTGGTGTTTCATTTATTATCTATTCTATACAGACATCTCTCTGATATCTGGTTCATAAATTGGCTGTGAAATACTACAGCCAATCAATTCTTGTCTCCCTGCAAGGATAATAAAAAATTAAAGGGCAATTTCATTCAGATAATTTGATTAGGGCCCCTAGTGGGTAAAGTTCTTTTGTAAAGATTATCTCGATTGAATTATGTTTGTGAATCTTGCTGCTTGTGCTTATCATTTATGGTCTTGTTGACAAGTCTTTCTACACACTGGTGCTCCTGCTGATTAAACTCTTGTTAGTGTGAAAGTCTGTTTAACCATTTGCCCTCCGGAAGATTTACCCCCCTTCCTGACCTGGCCAGTTTTTGCGATACGGCGTTACGTTACTTTAACTGACAATTGAGCAGTCATGCTGTACATAAATAATGCTTTAAGCAATGCTGTACATAAATAAAATTTTATTTTTTTTCCCCCACAAATCTTTTAGTGGTATTTGGTCACCTCTGTGGTTTTTATTTTTTTGTGCTACAAATGATGAAAAAAACACTGTCCTTCTTTTTTTTTTTTTTTTTTTTTTTTTTTTTACAATATTTTTTACTTTCTGCTATAAAACATATCCAATAAAAAAAAAATGTAAAAATCAAATTTCTTCATAAATTTAGGCCAAACTGTAAAATATCACAATAAGTGTATATTAATTGGTTTGCGCAAGATTTTAGCATCTACAAATGGCGGTATACAGGTGAAACTCGAAAAATTAGCATATCGTGCAAAAGTTCATTTATTTCAGTAATGCAACTTAAAAGGTGAAACTAATATATGAGACTCATTACATGCAAAGCAAGATAGTTCAAGCCGTGATTTGTCATAATTGTGATGATTATGGGTTACAGCTCATGAAAACCCCAAATCCACAATCTCAGAAAATTATAATATTGTGAAAAGGTTCAATATTCTAGGCTCAAATGTCCCACTCTAATCAGCTAATTAAGCCATAACACCTGCAAAGGGTTCCTGAGCCTTTAAATGGTCTCTGTCTGGTTCAGTAGAAATCACAATCGTAGGAAAGACTGCTGACCTGACAGTTGTGCAGAAAACCATCATTGACACCCTCCATAAGGAGGGAACGCTTCAAAAGGTAATTGCAAAAGAAGTTGGATGTTCCCAAAGTGCTGTATCAAAGCAGATTAATAGAAAGTTGTGTGGAAGAAAAAGGTGCACAAGCAGCAGGGATGACCGCAGCCTGGAGAGGATTGTCAGGAAAAGGCCATTCAAAAGTGTTTGGGGACTTTCACAAGGAGTGGACTGAGGCTGGAGTCAGTGCATCAAAAGCCACCACACACAGACTGATCCTGGACATGGGCTTCAAATGACGTATTCCTCTTGTCAAGCCGCTCGTGAACAACAAAGTGTGTCAGAAGCATCTTACCTGGGCTAAAGAAAAACAGACCTGGTCTGTTGCTCAGTGGTCCAAAGTCCTCTTTTCTGATGACAGCAACGTTTGCATTTCATTTGGAAACCAAGGACCCAGAGTATGGACGAAGAATGGAGAGGCACACACTGCAAGATGCTTGAAGTCCAGTGTGAAGTTTCCATAGTCTGTGTTGATTTGGGGAGCCGTGTCATCTGCTGGTGTTGGTCCACTGTGCTTCATTAAGTCCAGGGTCAACGCAGCTGTCTACCAAGAGATTTTGGAGCACTTCATGCTTCCTTCCGCAGACGAGCTTTATGGGGATGCTGACTTCATTTTCCAGCAGGACTTGGCACCTGCCCACACTGCCAAAAGCACCAAAACCTGGTTCAATGACCGTGGGATTACTGTGCTTGATTGGCCAGCAAACTCGCCTAACCAGAACCCCATAGAGAATCTATGGGGCATTGCCAAGAGAAAGATGAGAGACATGAGACCAAACAATGCAGAAGAGCTGTAGGCCGCTATTTAAGCATCCTGGTCTTCCGTAACACCTCAGCAGTGCCACAGGCTGATAGCTTCCATGCCACGCCGCATTGAGGCAGTAATTGCTGCAAAAGGGGCCCAAACCAAGTACTGAGTACATATGCATGCTTCTGTGTTACAGAGGTCCGATATTGTTCTATGTACAATTCTTGTTTTACTGATTGCATGTTATATTCTAATTTTCTGAGATTGTGGATTTGGGGTTTTCATGAGCTGTAAGCCATAATCATCACAATTATGACAAATCACGGCTTGAACTACCTTGCTTTGCATGTAATGAGTCTCTCATATATTTCACCTTTTAAGTTGCATTACTGAAATAAATAAACTTTTGCACGATATTCTAATTTTTCGAGTTTCACCTGTATATACTGGAATTTTTTTATTTTTTTTTAACCACTTTACAACTGCGCTATAGCCGAAAGATGGGCGACAGCGCGGTTGTCCAGTTGTGGGAAGGCATCATATGATGTCCTCCCAGAACGTGCACCTGGCACTGTCAGTGATCACTGTGTGCTACGGACACGGCTGATCACATGACTAGGTGAAAGTGGCCTTTTTTCCACACAATCAGCTGTGCCCAATGACACAGCAGATCACAAAGTAAATAGTTGCTGGTTAACGGCAGCACTTTCCTCACTCTGTCACAGCATTAGGAAAGTACCACTGATAACAAGTAAATGTCACAATGCAGATCTGCAGTGATGATCAGTGCCCAGCAGTGCTGCCCATCATTGCTGCATATTAGTGCTGCCTATCCGTGCCACTTCATCAGTGCCTATCAGTGCAGCCTCATCAATGCACATCAGTGAAGGAGAAAAATTACTGGTTTGCAAAATTTTATAATACAAACAAAGAAAAACATTTTTTAATTTTTTGCTTTTTTTTTTTGTTGTGCAAAAAATAAAAACCCCAGTGGCTATTAAATACCACCAAAAGAAAGCTCTATTTGTGTGGAGAAAAAAAATCATATGGGTACAGCGTTGCATGACCGCACAACTGTCATTCAAAATGCAACAGCACTGAAAGCTGAAAATTGGCCTGGGCAGAAAGGGGGTAAAAGTAGTTAATACTAATAATGGCTGTGATCATTTTGACGCTGACACTTTATGGAAACCAGTGACAATAATACAGTAATCAGTTCTAAAAATATACACTGTCGTATTAATGACACTGGCTAGGAAGGGTTTAAACATCTAGGGCGGTCAAAGGGTAAGTGTGTGCACTGTGTACTGATTATACTAGGCAAACTGCTAAATTTAATTTTTTTTAATAAAACCTAACAGTTTGCTGTTAACATAACACAACCCTGGTTTGTTTATACAATCAGAGCTGTTATGTCAGTGTTCTCGGCGATCAATGGGTGGCGGCACTCATCTATTGGCCAGGACCTATTGATTGACCTCAGAAATGCAAAATTACATTTATGTACGTGATTTTGCACAGAACGTCCACCCTGTAGCGGTAAATCTGCTATAGGGCGGAGGCCAATTGGTTAAGCTACATTATACTGCCACCAGCTAGTGTTGGGTGCAATTGTAATGCCATATTTAGTAGTAGGCCTTGATTACAGAAGCCGTGCAGACACACTTCATTTGGAGCTGTGCATCAGTCCTGAACATACACTATATTGCCAAAGGTATTGGGATGCCTGCCTTTACATGCACATGAACTTTAATGGCATCCCAGTCTTAGTCCGTAGGGTTCAATATTGAGTTTGTCCCGCCCTTCGCAGCTATAACAGTTTCAACTCTTCTGGGAAGGCTGTCCACAAGGTTTAGAAGTGTGTCTTTGGGAATGTTTGACCATTCTTCCAGAAGCGCATTTGTGAGGTCAAGCACTGATGTCGGACGAGAAGGCCTAGTTTGCAGTCTCCATTCTTCTTGGTATGCTGACACCTTAAGAGTTCCCTTCACTCGAAATAAGGGGCCAAGCCCAACCCCTGAAATACAACCCCACACCATAATTCCCTCTCCACCAAACTTTACCCTTGGCACAATGCAGTCAAGCAAGTAGCGTTCCCCTGGCAACCGTACTTCTCTGTCTGGCAATCCAATGGATGTATCTGGGTTTAGCGATTTCTCTCTCCAGAGAACATCATCAGGGCCCTATAGTCTAGTGGCGGCGTGCTTTACACCACTGCATCCGACGCTTTGCATTGCACTTGATGTACAGTTGCAAGAAAAAGTATGTGAACCCCTTGGGATTACGTGAAGTTTTGCATGAATTGGGCATAAAATGTGCTCTGAACGTCATCTAAGTCACAACAATAGAAGAACACAGTCTGCTGAACATAATACTACACAAACATTAGATGTTGCTATGGTTTAATTGCACATAACATGTAAACATTCACAGTGCAGGGAGGAAAAAGTATGTGAACCTTTGACTTAATAACTGGTTGACCCTCCTTTGGCAGCAATAACCTCAACCAAACGTTTCCTGTAGTTGCAGATCAGACCTGCACAATGATCTGGAGTAATTTTGGACCACTCCTCTTCACAAAACTGTTTCAGTGTAGCAATATTCTTGGGATGTCTGGTGTGAATGCTCTCTTAAGGTCATGCCACAGCATTTCAATCGGGTTGAGGTCAGGACTCTGACTGGGCCACTCCAGAAGGCGTATTCTGTGCTGTTGCAGCCATTGTTTTGTTGAATTACTTGTATGCTTTGGGTCATTGTCCTGTTGCATCACCCATCCTCTGCGGAGCTTCAGTTGGCGGACAGATGGTCGTACGTTTTCCTGCAAAATGTCTTGATAAACTCTGGAATTCATTTTCCCATCAATGACAACAATCCGTCCAGGCCCTGAGGCAGCAAAGCAGCCCCAAACCATGATGCTCCCTCCGCCATGTTTTACAGTGGGTATGAGGTTTGGTGTTGGTGTGCTGTGCCTTTTTTTCTCCACACATAGTGTTGTGTGTTCTTCCCAAACAACTCAATCTTGGCTTCATCTGTCCACAGTATATTTTGCCAGTAGTGCTGTGGAACATCCAGGTGCTCTTTTGCAAACTTCAAAACGTGCTGCAATATTCTTTTTGGACAGCAATGGCTTCCTCCGTGGTGTCCTCCCATGTACTCCATTCTTGTTTAATGTTTTCCTTATTGTAGATGTGTCAACAAAAATGTTAGCATGTGCCAGAGATTTCTGTAGGTCTTTAGCTGACACTCTGGGATTCTTCTTTACCTCATGCAGCATTCTGCGCTGTGCTCTTGCAGTCATTTTTACAGGACGACCACGCCTAGGAAGAGTAGCAACAGTGCTAAACTTTCTCCATTTGTAGACAGTCTGTCTTACCGTGGACACATGAACATCAAGGCTTTTGGAGATACTTTTGTAACCCTTTCCAGCTTCATGCAAGTCAACAATTCTTGATCGTAGGTCTTCTGAGAGTTCTTTTCTGCGAGGCATGGTTCACATCAGACAGTGCTTCTTGAAACCAGTAAACCCAAAACAGGTGTGTGTTTTTTAAGGGCAGGACAGCTGTCAGCAACACATCCAATATCATCATCACACTGATTGGAGTCAAAGTTGGCTCACTCCTGGCTCAAATTAGCTCTGGGAGAAGTCATTAAGCTAGGGCCTCACATACTTTTTCCTCCCTGCACTGTGAATGTTTACATGTTATGTGCAATTAAACCATGGCAACATCTAATGTTTGTGTAGTATTATGTTCAGCAGACTGTGTTCTTCTATTGTTGTGACTTAGATGACGTTCAGAGCACATTTTATGCTCAATTCATGCAAAACTCCATGTAATCCCAAGGGTTTCACATACTTTTTCTTGCAACTGTATGGCTTGGATGCAGTTGCTCGGCCATGGAAACCCATTTCATAAAGCTCTCTACTTACTGTTTTGCTAATCTGAAAGTCACATGAAGTTTGGAGATCTTTAGCAATTGACTCTGTAAACAGTTGGCGACTTCCGCACACTGTGCGCTGACCCTTGCTCTGTCATTTTACGTGGCCTACACTTTGTGGGCTGAGTTGCTGTTGTTCCCAGTGGCTTCCACTTTGTTATCATACCACTAACAGTTGACCATGAAATATTTAGTAGCAAGGAAATTTCACGGATAGACTTATTGCATAGGTGGCAACCTATCATGGTACCACTCTTGAATTCATTGAACTCCTGAGAGCGATCCATTCTTTCACAAATGTTTGTAGAAGCAGTCTGCATGCCTAGATGCTTGATTTTATATACCTGTGGCCATGGAAGTGATTGGAACATCTGAATCCAATGATTTGGAGGGGTGTCCCAATACTTTTGGCAATATAGTGTATGTACAGTTATGGGTTTGCTTGAAGATCCGTGCAGCCATCTTCCTGTCATTGATTTGAACAGGCTGATTGCATTGACTAGCTGTGCCACCCAGGTGAGTAGAATGGCCCTCTGTAGGGGTGTACTGATTAGTGCACCCATGTGAAGGAGGCCCTACTGGCAACAATGTCTGGTGCAGGAATTTTTTTTTCCTTATCCACCCACTTTTTTATCTTTTGATCCTTGTCACCATTTGTAAATTGAATGTCATAATCCTGTTCAGCTGTGTGTACATTTCAGAGTTGGTAAATCTGTGCATGTATGGCATTTCGTGGTGAAGCAAGTCCAGGAAGGTCAGAAATCATGGTGAAAGTGGGGCACAGACTAGCATTCACCTTGTGTGTTGATAGCTGTACATTTTTATGCGTGTAGTGTGTGACTGATTCTATTTAAATTGTTAATTTTCTTTACCACTTCTGTTAACCTTTATTAGGTGGATTTTGTGATTAAAGAGGCAACAAATCTAGATAACCTGGCTCAGCTGTATGAAGGTTGGACAGCTTGGGTGTGAACAAGAAGACGGCAGACCAGCCTGGTTCAGCACAGTCAGCAATCCACCAGAATCAATCCAGTCTCAGGCATCCACAGCCGCGCCAAGGCCGGTGGTGATGTATACTGGGGCTTAATATGTGGTAATCTAGGAAATCCTGGTGCAGTGGGAACGGGAATCCCACAGGAACGCTGCACCCAGAGCAACGTTAAACACCAGTGGTCAGCAACCCCAAGGGCACAGAGTACAATGCTCACCGTCTGGGTAAAGTGATTGTCTTTCTGCTATGGAAGATCTGACAGTACATCTGAGAAATTGCTGCAGAAAGAAACCGGCACCCTCCAGACCGCATGGTGATCTAGAACTCTCTTCCATGTGACCCTGCCAACAATTGAAGAAATGCTAAACCCTGTTCGTCAAGGGGGGAACTCTGGGGCCATCAAGGATTTGCAGTGAAGAGGATGCTGTCCGTTTCTTGGGTTACTCTTGTTGCTTGGCAATGCTGCTGGTTGAGTTAGCCAGCTTAGCACAGAAGAGGCTAGGAGATGAAGCATGGCCTCTGAAAACTAGCTGAAAACAGCCAAAGAACAGAATTGTGAAGTTAGGTGGACTTCTGAAAAGAAGACAAAAAACCTTGTTTTCCATTCTTTTCTTCCCCTCATTTCTTGTAGTTAAAGAATACATGTTTATTTTTCACACTGTATTCAAACTTAACACTTTTGTTTGGTAGCTGGGCATATATCCAGAGACACTTAATACTTGGAGATTGCAGAAATATTTCATTCACTTGGTACCCACTGCAAAAAATATCTTGCCATTTTTGTGTGACCCATGCACAAATACATGAAGGATCAACCCAATGCATTGAAATAAGCCCAGCAATGATTCTGCTTCTCAAAAATCTACATGACCCCCACTTTGTGTGTTTCCATACGCTTAAGCGATGTGAGTACTCCACCCCTCCTTTTTTTTTTTTTTTTTTTTTTTTTCTTTCTTTTTTTTTTTTTTTTTTTTTTTTTTAAATTGCGTAGTCTAAGTAGTTTAACTTGTCACTTGATGACAGTTATAATAAAGTGAACTTCTGGTGGAGGTAGACTGCAGTGGTGTTTACTTTACATTTTGAATGAAAAATATTTGTTTTACACTTAAGCTTTTAACACCTCCATGCTTGGTTTTAACCCTTCTAATATTACCGGAGAAGTATGACTTTCTTCCAGATATACATTACTTTAGTTTGAGGTCTTTAAGACCTTGTGTGGAATATGTCCTATCTAAGAACTTTAGTTTATAAACAAGTCAACATATTCTATTTTTGTAATTCAGTTCAGGTACAGAGCTTGGGTATTCTAGAATGGTAGAGGCAAGTGAAAGTGGAGATGTGTTGCCCATAGCAACAAGTCAGGTTCTTGTTTTCATTTTAAAACCTGCACTACAGAAATGACAGCTAGAATCCAGTTTCTGTGGGAAGAAAATCCACTTTTTCCTGCACTCTTTTTTCCATGTTTTTATGACACAAGTTAATCCCTTACAGAAAACTGGTAGATTTTCCTTTAATGAGGTCCATTAAAGTATATCTTGAGCCTAAGTTTTTATTTAGTATTCCCTTCTGGATACATTTTGTAGTACATTGCACACGGGTGGCTGTGAGAACAGTGTTTTGTAGACATTCACATAAATATGTGATTCCTTTTTTGTCCTTTCATTTTTTTTTTTTTTTTTTTTTTGTCTGAATCTGATTTGGTGATGTTGAAAACAGATCCATTTTATTTTCAAGTGTTTTTCTTGCAGTCATCCTTACTGGGTATTTTGTGGCCCTTCTCCCCACTTGTATTGCCTACATATGTGACTTGTTAAACTGTTGTTGGGTTTAATACAAGAGCACACATTATGTCTGTTAGGAAGAATATAAATTCAACCAGCAGTTGCCGTTACGAAAAACAGTTTATACCAGCAATATTTTAGATAGTGAGCATTTTGTGTGTGTACCGTTAATCTTCCCTGCCACAGAGGTCTGCAGCACATCACTGTATTGTAACTAGTCCTCTTTTGATGGCAAGAGCATTAAGTCTGCTAATAGCAATCTTTTCTCCCAGTCTGGAGTATTAACAAATTCTAATATTTGCAGTTAGTGGAAATTTCAGTTTGTACAAGAATGACAGCCTTATTTGCTCTGGTTGGCTGGCTAAGAGTACTTAAATGCTGAGTAATGCATGCCTGTTTTGTGTACCAGCAGACACTGCTATACAGTTATGGTGAAGGTAAGACTTTGTATGTCAGAATTCAATGTAATGGAATTTAACTTTACTCCCACAAGCAAAAATCTTTTTGTGAGCTGTGTAGATAAGTTAGGAAAACCTGCATTACTTTAATTTCTTCTGAGATGTTAACGTTTAATGCACATCAGACACCTGTAATATTACATTTCTGCTTTCAATTACAAACATCTATGAAGAATCAGATTCTTAATTGTTTAAATAAAATACTTATGATTAATGCATAATGTGCTGATTTTTTTCTTCTTTTAATGCATAATGTGCTGATTTTTTTTCTTCTTTTAAAACTGTTGTGTAGATGTAATTTAAAAGAAACAAAAGTAAGTCTATGTTCCTCAAGTTGAAATGACTATTATTAATGTAAGTAGTCTTCATTAAATAATATTCTCCATAAATGTGCAAAGAACATGCCTGTTTAGGACCTTTCATTTTTGCTCTGTTGTTGTACCAAGCCACTTTAATGTACTGATTCTCACTGCTAATCTGGTGTTCTGCAATAACCTTATGCTGAGGCTGTTATTCTGCAGGCAAGACATTCACAAATCTGCCAATCTGGCTTTGTATTTACATATTCAATAAGACTGGCACTGAATCCTTCTGGAAGAATTTCTCAGCTGAATGCTTGCATAACACAAATTAACTGGAAAAAGATGCAGCAATTCTTTTTAAAGCCATTCTCATGCTGGTTGTAGGAAATGCACTTCAGTGGTTGGAAAAGACTATATTTGTTAACATGGTAAATTTACTTGAATTTACCCCTGGTGATCTATTTAATAAAATCCATAAAGTACTAATAAAATTTAGGTATGACAAAAGAACAGAGATCAGCTGTAATCTCATTTAAAAAAAAAAAAAAAAAAAAAAACCTGTAATGTCAGTTCACTAAGCTGAGCTCTGTGGTGTTCTATTATTTCGTATAAAATGTTCAGTTTACAGTACATACATGAATATTGTGTAATTGCAGTTATTCTTTTGCATAAAATGATCATCACCGTTGTTAGCACTTCACTACACACTGGCAGGTTAATTGGTTCCTGTCTAAAAGAAAAAAAATTGCCCCAATATGACATTCTACTGCATGCACTCAAGATAGCTGCTTCACTATTTGTCCCCAACAGCAAATAAAGGCCAGGAAAAGAAGTGAGGGAAAATCTCTTAAATATAAAAACAGGTTTGAAAATACTTTCAGTTCATTAAGGGGATGCTAGAACCTCTGTCAACTTTTTGTCGGTTTTCCTGTTGTGGACTTTCCCTCTCTCTTAGATAAAACCTTGTCCCCTAGTAAAACCTGATGGGGGATGGGGGGGGGGGGGGGCAGGGCTTCTAACCTTTCACCATTCTATACAACAAAAATTTGGGGTGTAGAAACCATTTAGGATTTTCCTACTCCACAAAAATCCTATACCAACACTGTAGCTTATAATGCAGACAAAAAGACTGGGCAGCCAAACCTTTAAAGTGTCATTAAACCCAGGCTATGAAAAACTCTCATTACATGCTATATGACAGTGTCTGCATACTCAAAGCCACTAAAGGATTTGTTTTGTGTAGAGAGAAATACACTTGGTTTACTCTGTCTTCAGCTGCTGTTCCCTCCTCTGTGTCCCCACTGCAGCCTAAGCTTGTATAACTTGGTTGTTGTCACATCTATTGTGCATGCTCTGCTTTGACATCTTTTGAGACATTCATTTCTTCCTTGTTCTAGCTGGAGTAGCCCCGAAATGCCTTTCACTATGACCAAGCTGGAGGCATGGCTAAGCCAGAACAGGTCGCATGTCCTTTGTTGTCACCAAGCCCTCACCCCAGCTGTGCAAAGTGGATTGGAAGTGTCAGTCGAGGGATCTGATCCACCCGAAGGCATTGGTGGGTGGATCAGATCCTTGATTGACTTCTCTATTATTGCTTTGCATGGCCTGGGGGACAGCCTGGTGATATCACAGGACATGTCACCTGCATTGGCTTAGCCTTGCCCCCATCCTGGTCTATGCTGCAGCCAAATAGAGATTCATGTGACCCTGTACTTAAATACGTGTAAAAATGTATTTAATTACAAAGTGGTTTTATGTGTATTGAATTGCTGTTGGTGTGCTCTGTTACTTAGACGTTCTAATAGTATCAGGGTTTAGAATCACTTTAACATACACCGATCTGCACACATACACCGATCAGCCATAACATTATGACCACTGACAGGTAACGTGAACAACACTATCTCATCTGAAAGTAAGTGAGATCTATTAGGCAGAAAGTGAACATGTTGTCCCTGAAGCTGATGTATGGAAGCAAAAAAGAATGGGCAAACGTAAGAATTTGAGCGACTTTGACAAGTGCCAGAATGGGAATGATTAGATGACTGCAGCTATTGTGGAATGTTCCCAGTGTGCAGTGGTCAGGACTGACCAAAAGTGTGCCAAGGAAGAAGAGCCAATGAACTAGCGATTGGAGGGGGGGGCTCATTGATGCATGTGGTGAGCGAAATCTGGCCAGTGTATTCCGATCCAGTAGAGGAGCTACTGGAGCTACTGTTGGAACCAACAAGTTATTGTTGGTTCCAATAGAAGGGTGTCAGAACACACAGTTCATTGCAGTTTGTAGTTTATGGGGCTGCATAGCTGCAGACAGGTCGGGGTGCCTATGCTGACCCGTGTCTATAGCCAAAAGTCACCTACTGTGGGCACATGAGCGTTAGAATTGGACCACAGAGCTATAGAAGAAGATGGTGTGGTCTGATGAATTCAAGATAGGCTT